TTATCTGCAGCAGGAGACAGTGGTGACGCATGCTTTAGTTTTAGATTGTAGTGCCTCTTTTGGACCGCAAGAGCAGACCTTACACACTCTCCCCCTGTTAATATTAGGGCATGAACTTGAGTCAGAGATCTGGGATGAGTCCGGTGGGCACAGCTCCAGCCGGGATGCTTCTCTCCCAGGAACAGACGGAGAGGAGGAGTGACCGGCCCCGTGCTGGCATCGGGAAAGCCATTCAAGGGACACAAGCTCTGGTTTCGATGATAACATACTGAAGGTGCAGCAATACAGGTCTTCTATATCGATTTATGGTTTGATAACTGATGGATAAAAACAATATAATGAGGTTGTAGCTGTAGAAGGTTCAATATGACTAAATATGACTTATTTCTGCTGTATATTATCAAAATGCATGCTCTTTTATATATTGAGATTATCCTTCTTTATTGTACTAGCATCAGTGGGATAGAGTAGTTTCCAATATTAGTTTTTACAACAGTCATTTTCTCAATCAATATATTGTCCATCAAAAGCAGTTATCGTGACAGTTCAATACATCAGACAGGCAGAAAGCATCCATCCATCCATTTTCTTCCCCTTAATCCATTCCTGGGTTGGGGGGGTGGCAGTCAGAGCTACACCCAGTACACTTAGCACCAGCCCCTCACTGATCCTCCTGCAGGTGGTGAGTCCACAGGAGCTGAGATCTTTCAGTGGGAGCTTCAGGCAAAGTGGGGTTAAGTGTCTTGCCCAAGGACACAACGACAGCAGTCATCAGTGGGAGTCGTGAAGTAGGTCTTATGGTGGGCTTGAACCCACAACCTTCAGGCCCAAAGGCCAATGCTCTACCAACTGAGCTACAGGCAGAAAGCAGATACAGTATAATGTGTTGTGGGTCTGCTCTATAATCTATGACAATGATTCACAAACATGTTGAACAATGTTGTCGCTGAACTGAAATTAAATCCAGTAAAGAACGAGCATCATATCACAGGATGTTTTTCACATAGACCTTTTCATAGATACCCACAAGAAAACCAAGTTCAAAATCTGCTTCTAATGATAATATTAGTTAATTCCCGTTGAAACATTATTTGATTTTGGAGGTGATCCGGATCAACGTCTGGATCCAGGCCTTTTTTTGAAGGATTAAAACTGTGCTGCGCATCTTGGTGGAGGTCTGTGCTCTACGAGTGCTTTCACAGTTTAGATGTAGGATCATAGAAAATGTTTATATCTGGGATCTAACTTTTTTTTTTTTTCCAAACTGGAAAAAAGTCAGATAAAGCAAATAAGGTTGTTACCATAACAGACATTTATCAATAAACGTTATATTGCCAACTTCACACTGGTTTTCCTGGTTCACTTTACACTGAACAGTCCTGGTTCACTTTAACTGGTCCAATCCTAGTTCACTTGGGACAAAAATGCTCTGTGGATTTGTGGATGGAAAACCACCAAACACTCCACTAGTCTCCACTGGTCACAAATGTCAGTTTTAAGGTTATAATTAACCATTATTTTGACAATCAATCAGTTGGATGACTATTCTTTTGATTAAATAGTTCAACTTTTCCCAACTTTTTAGGGATGTCACAACAGCCCAGGGGCAGATTTCATGGTTTCTAAAACTGTTTTTTTTACTGGTTTTAGACAGTTCCAGGGTTTAAAATGGGGTATCATGCCTCCATATGGTTTAGTGGAGTTGTAGTTGGCTGGATGATGCTGTGAATGGATGATGCTCAATGGCTTCTTTGTGTTAGCGAGGCAGAGGGCCACATAACATAACATGACACAGCGGGCCTTAGTTTGGACATGCCTGATTAGTTGTTACGATCCTAAAGCTCAGTGAATATAGTATTTTTCTACATTTGACCAAAACAAAGCTCAAGGAGAAAATCTTCATAAAACGTGGCACACATTGGGCTTTCTGAACATAAATACTTGCTAATACTGTTATTTCACTCTACAGTCATTAAAGAATTATCTGAGTCATACCACCTATTTCAGAATGTTTAATCCGATTGAAGGTCCAACCCCCATCCAGCCTTGGTCTAGTTGGCTTTTGCATTTCTTATAACATATGAGGCAACTGTGGTTAAAGTTGAACTCATCATTCACTCAATCATTTTCCACTTGGATGTGTTGGTTATCTGAAGGCCTAAGCAACTGGTGCCAGGGCAGGTCGAGTGGCAGAATTCTCCATGCCATAAAAATCAATCCATGCGGAAAATCTTTGGTCGTGCCTTTGTAACATCAATAACATGTCTTCAGAGCCTGTACACAACGGCAGACCCCCGCATCGTTTGCCATTCCTTTCAGACCCTTTAACACTCCTTGGAGAGATGCAAAAAGAATGTAGGAGCAGTTTGACGGTAAAAGTGCCAAAAAACCAAGTGATAGAGATGCCCCGATGAGGTAGATTTCAGTTCCAAGCTTCAAGTAGATATTGTGACTCAAAACATTAACTGGCAAATGGTTAAAGCAAACCATTCCAACAAGTGTGAAAGCGACCTTACTCAGCACCTGTCTCACAAACCCTGCTGAAAACATAACCCCACGGAGGAGCTAAAGCGTCTCCCTCTCATTAAGCACTGCTCACCTGCATGTTTGTGAGAGCAGCTGTATCCCACACACAGAGCTGTAAGGCCTGATTAGAGCGTGTTTGAGCCCAACGCTGTCAGATTAAGAGCGCTCTCCCCACACAATCCCGTCTTTACGCGCTCCCTCAGTGACTTTAGCAAAACAGGAAACACATACACTGCACACAGAGGCGCCAACGGGCACGGCACACCGGGGGGGTGGGGTTGGGGGGACATGGACACTCACAAAGCAAGCGCTGCTGTTCATACAGGCGGAAAAGAAGAGAGTCAGAGAAAGTGGTACCTTTGCTCTTAGCTACGGCAGAGGAAGCAGGTCCGAGAGGGGAGGGCAGAGACGCAGCAGGAGAGGACAGGGGACAACAACGTCAGGTCAATAGATACGCAACACACACGGCATCTATTACACACACGTCCACAACACACAGAGAGCGGTGGGTTGTGGTGTGTTTAAAAGTTTAGTCTGTGTTCGGATGTCTGAACTCTTATGTAATTACTGTACGTCTGATTTGTAGCTTTTTTTTCCCTCATTGTGCCTTTTCAACATTTAAATTCTCAGTGTTGATCAAAATCAAGACAAAACTACTCAAAGGCAGTGTATTTTTTGTTTAAAAGTTGTGCCAAAATGCCTGTGCATCACTGTTGAACCCTATGTGTATTTTCTAAGAAGACATCAGGCATTAGGATGGAATCTTTTTGTTAACAATTACAGGTTAAACGCGGAAAAGGTCTTTTATTTTTGTATTTAGACTTTAACATTGTCTCAATATATGACTAAGACGGCACAAAATTGATGATTGATTATGGCTTACAGTCAATTCAATATTCAAATTTAGTTGAATGTTTCATTTGGGGTTTTTACAGCTGTGAGCTCGACATTCCAACAAATATAGGCTTGATATGTCTCACTTTGCGTGTACCAAGTCTGTCAAATATCAGTTTCCCATTATCAGTTGAAATACAGAAATAGATGGATTTTTGAAAGATATTTTTGAGTTTCACCTTCATTTAGACGGTTATAAAACAAGGCATCTTTCAAGTGGTATTACTGATAATTGGCAGCACTAGAAAAGATGACTGTAGGCAGTGTTGGGAGCGAACAGCCTAAACTTCACTGTACTGCTTTACTGGATGGATTTGTTTCTTATGTGCTGTTTGTGTGCTGTGAACATCACACACTCTCAGTCATGTTATAATCCTCTTAAACATGTGGGAGAACATACCTTGTTCTGCCATCATATGTGCAAAGCCTTGAAAAGGAGAATAGAGAAGAGAAATCAGAACACTGCTTACAATACACAGAGTATTGTAAAGTCAAAGAACACAAGAGGGACACGGCACTGGTCCTGCTGGTCTCGAACAGGAACACATAGAGCTACACCTAAATCTGAGATATTTAGTATTATAACATATAGCTACACTTAAAATTGCAATATTTAGCATAATAACATAAAGCTACACTTATAAATCCAATATTTAGATTAATACCACGCAGAAAGACAACTCAACTATTTTTTAACTATTTCATATTTATACAGATGACAAATTGAGATACTTATTAATACCTTAAATCTGCAGCACCTAACTTTGAAACCACAAAAAATAACTATGTAATAAAATATATGTAATTAGTTCCTTGCAATATCACTAATATGCACGGGCGTGTACAGTATTACAGCCAATCAGCTCTCGGTAAAAGATCAAATGTGTTCTATTAAGGTAAAGGCAGCATGAAGTAGTCTAATAAAAAAGTTAGGTACTCCAACTTTAATAGATCAAGATGTAAATACAATACAATTAATCGATAGAGATTTTATACTTCCATTCATTTTTCTTTATTGTGCTAAAATCAGAAAATTTATACTTGATTCTTTAATATGCTAAAGCTAGAGATTTTATACTTGAGACTTTATTAAGCTAAAGATAGAGATTTTATACTTGATTCTTCATTATGATTAGGTTAGAAATGTTACAGTTGCTTCTTTATAATGCTAAAGTTAGAGATTTTTATTTTATTTTAGTATAGAATTATTGCGCTGTGTGTTCCTCCTTTCTACTGGTCTGTAACTGGAGATGAAACAATGAAATTTCCCCACTGTGGGACAAATAAAAGGATCTCTCAATCTTAATGTTTTATTATTTAACATCCAAATGAGTCTCTTGGCTAAAGGGGTTCTTCCTGTTCACTGGACTACAGCAGGACCAGAGCGATGAAGGCGACGTACCATCTGTCCCCAGTACCCCACCTGGTACTCCTCCCTCTATGTATTTTAAGAATGACAAGACAAGTGCAAAAACTCACCTGGCAGATTCTGGGTGATCTCTGGAGGGAAAGAGACAAGGGGAAACAGAGCTCACATTAGACACACTGCTCTTTGCATGTTGGCTTCATGCAAAATTATATCACACTCTGGAGAGGTCATGCAGAGGGCTGGCACACAGCACAGCCATATGCATGTTCTGCACACTCAGCGGATCCCTGATCAGAGGACCACAACAAAACCTATATTTGCACAGAAATATAGTATAGTATTTATAGTCAGGGTTTTGGTTTCCCACTTATTTTTGTCACCAAGTGCAAAATATAACCTGGTTGCTTAGAATTGAAGTAACGAGGTCAAGGCCGGTCTGACTCATTGATTGTATACAAAAATGACAATGCTAACACCCTAGCTCAATAGAGAAGTGCTCATGGATGAAGTTTTGCTCCCAATGACTCTGACACCAATTGACAATCCTGCAGCTCAGTCGCTGTTTGTGTCACACCATTTTTAACCCCAAAATGACCTGTTTTTTATTTAAACAAAAGCAAGCATGTTTTTTTCCTCTATGTATAAACACACAACACAATAATCATTATTTTGGTTTCCCACCGCAGCATAAAATCACCAATCTCACCAGAGCATTACCCACAATTAATCACAGAGCAACAACAACCAAACACGGATTATGTGTGTGAAAAAGCATTCCCCTGTGCTTATAGTAAAATGTGAGTCTAAAGTCTTGGAAAGATGGCTGTCATGTTTATATCCAAACACATGAATGATTCACAACAGGCCCATATCCAGTGTCCGGACCTGGACCTGGCCTTTGTGCCGCATACAACCGACCAAAACCATCACTATTCTCTACCTGTCATCTACTGTATGTCTATTTTTCCTAACTCTTACTTCAAAGGCTGCAAAGTTGACAAAATTCATTCGTGGGTGTCTAAATGTACATCACAACATCACTAAGGAAAGAAAAAGCCTGAATCTGACTCTAAAAACAGCATTTACAAATCAAAGATTGCAGTAGTTCACTTAATTAAAGATATATTAAAAAGATAATACAAGCTCACTACAAGCCTTTTTGTTGTGATTCATACACATACTTTTCATTCAGATAATTAGTTCACTTAAGGGATGGAATAGTAACCGGTATACTGTGATATTTAAAAGTCAAAGCACGCGAAAGCCAGATCCCATCAGACCTCTGAAGCTGAGCGGGGCAGGACCTGGTTAGTACTGTGATCAGAATAGATTGGGGAGAATACAGAGAAGTATAGTGCACAAATTTGAAGACAAATATCCAAATCCAAGACTGTTTTATGTCTTTTCCAGTTATTCTTTCCAAATTCATGAATTCAATGTTTTAAGACTTTTAAAGACCCTGTAGAAGCCCTGCTGACAGTAGAAATGTCATACACATTCGAGACAGTGTAGCTGCTGAGTAATAAAGTATGGAACAATAGACTGAGCTGCTGTGCTTTTCATTAATGCATTTGGTGAATTGAGGAAAACAAAGCTTCTCAAATGGAAGCACAGGAGAATAGATAGAGGTGCTGGCCCATCCCCCAACCTCGCCCCCCCATTATAACGGAGTGCCACAGCGGAGATAAAAAAAAGCTAATCTTGGAATTTCAGCCGCGCTCGGCCATTGTCTGTGACCGCGGACCGACTGAATTATGTATCTCTGTGGCTGCCGTCCAAATGCTTAATTACAGACAGGAAATACATAAACAAATGAGCTGTGAGTGATCAAGATCCATAGACCTAGGGCTGATCTCATCTCCAGCACAGAAGTACAGTGCATTCTCCCAACTGCAGAGGTGTCCGCCAGGAGCACTGAGCACAACTGATTGACAACAAAATGTAAGAGAAACCAGACAGCCTTTGATTGGCTCCAAGAGATGGGCTGGCTCCTTATCAGCGGCTGCAGGACTCATGTCATTAACCTGCAGGCGATAATCTCAGCTCACAGCTCTGCCACATGCACATACACACACACTTACACATACATATACACATGTACACACACGCACAGACACAGCATCAAGGGTCTCTGTGAAAAAGAATTTGCATAGTGTGCACCCCAACCTTCTTGCAAAATCTCTCTCTAAAAAAAACACATTGATTGATCTTTTGCTGAACCATATAAACAGCAAAGTAGCCTGAAAAACAATAAAACACGAGCCAAAACCAAACCAAAACTGTAGAGGAGGGCCTTTAGCAGAAAGCGCGTGAACTATAGGCAGAATAGATGTAACTTAGACACAGCACTGGTCAGATGATGATACAAGCTTTAAGCCGACTGTCACATTGAGTTCCACATCTTTGTACAATGTATCGTCATGTTTTCTTGTATCTCAGATCTGTCATACACATATTACTGACACAACATATTTGCATATACAACCCTGAACTCTGGGATTCAGCCTGGAACACTGCAGCACATAAGCAGGTCTTTGGTCTGAATCCTACAATAGTAAAGAGCAGAAATGTTACCTTGGTTGCAAAAGCGGCCCATGTACGGAGTTTTGGAGCAGTCGCACACTGGCTGTCCGTCCACCACAGAGCAGCTGCCTCCGTTCTCACAGAGGTTCACAGAACAGCGGCCTTCAGTTTCCAGGGGGACTTTGAGGCTTCCCAGCATTAGAGGGGCACTGTTCCCATACTTAAGTTCACTGATGCTTCCTCTGAATGGAGACATGCTCCTGACTGTGGGCAGGGTGAGGGCCCCATTACGGATGTCCTGAGGAACCCCTCCTACGAACAGGTCACTGACGATCTTCATCAGCTGCCTCTGAGGCCGCACCTCGTCTGCCTTGGCCATCCCGTCCAGAGCCACCACGGTGCGCAGGTTGTACCGGCTCAACATCACAAAGTGCCAGAGGTTGTCGTCCAGTCGCTTGTCTGAGACCACACTGGTTTCTGCACAGTCAATACTAAATCGCAACTGCAGCCTGCCCTCCACCACAGACAGCAGCAGGAAGTCACAGTAGCCCCCATCGTCAAAGTAAAGCAGTACTCCATCAGGGGAGGCAGTCTTAATCTGAAACCTTAGATCACTGCGGGTGCTGGCGTCCCAGCGGAGGTAGCGTGCCCACTGTCCTGGAGTTCCCAAGAACTCCAGTCCCAAACATGTGCTCATCAGAAGCTGCAGATGGATACAAAAATGTACAAGATCCATAGCTGTGAAGAATTAGCAGGTCTTTTCAAATATTTAGGGATCTGAGCAGATCCAGTTAAATTTCAAATCAAATGAAAAAAAAGATTTTCAAAAAAATATCTTTTATAAAAATATGATTATTAGGGGAGTATTAGAACAGTCATTTTAACAGTCTAAAGCCATTTCTGTTCCGTTCACTGTCAGTGAATGCAGGAGGTGCTTTGGGAGTGAAGGCAGAAGGTGTGTGGATTAGTGCAAGTGAACTTTCCTCTTCCGTGTTGTCCATTGGGAAAAGCAGCTGGACTGGAATCTTTGAGCCTGTCTCATGCCCATCTGTGAAAGAGAAAAACAAGGTTAAAGGCAATGCTTATACTCTTATGAATCTTTTCTAACACTTTTGATGCAATTACAGTAAAAGTTGAACTTGTCATTACAAAGTCAGTGATTTTGAGATGTTTTGGTTTTCTGAAGGTTGAAGCTAACATAACTATTGGCGCCGTCTCAGATTCTAAGAGGAGGACTTTGATTCACCTGCTATAATATCCCATGCTGCTGTGACATGATACCAGACCTCTGCGTCTTTTGTCATTTTCTTTAACTCCATACATTTATTTGTGTCGCTTATAAGTTAAGACTTTCAAAGAAGTAATTTAGAAGGTGGAGGTTCTGACCAAGGCGAAGTCACTATTGACAGGGCAGCCATCTTCCCGTGGACCCACCACCTGCAGGAGAATCAGCGAGGGACTGGTGCTGTGACTGGTGCTATGAGTATTGATCCAGATATGGACTAATAAAGGGGTAGAATATGAATGAATGAATGAAAGGTGCAACCCAGATACTTTGGGTCATTGATGTACAGTAGGGTCCCTGTGGTAAGTAAGTAATCCTTATTTATAGAGCGCATTTCCCAGATGCAGGTCATGGGTAATACAATGGAGCTGGATGTCACTGCAGCCGACATGCACCGAACAGGACGATGTCAGCCATACTGATGCAAAAAGGGGGATATTGTAATATAAAACGAATACCTAATTTTCAAACCACACAAAATGGAACTATATGTAATAAATCCGTCTAACTAGTTCCTCGTCCTCAAAACAGTTTGGTTCTTATACTAGATTTCCCATGCATGTATTTTAGGCCTTTGTTGCATGAAAAACAGTGAAAGAGAAAGGACCCCTCCCCTCTCCTCCCCTCACTTACTCAGCCAATCTGCTCTCATCCATCCTAACAGGGCAACTATTTTAATACTTATAAATAAATCTTGCTGAAAAACCGTTACTTTTACAAACCTCTATATCTAAAGGGCCAAAGTAAATATTTAAGGCCTATTTCTAAAACAAAGAAATTAGGTACCCCAGCTTTAATGATGCATCCTGGCTCAAAAACCAACTGTTTTTTTTAAAGGTATACAGAAGGATCTCCTACTACTGGGTGAATCATCAAAACTATTGGTCCTCCTAAATGTAAATCATGCTGGTGATACGTGCTCGTCAAAGAGGACCAGTGAGATTATTTTTATTTTTTCAAAAAGTGGAGAGGACGGTTTTTTTACTAAAATTCGGGAAAATCCTCTTACATACCTTCAAAACATGCTAATCTCACTTACCAAGAAGTAGATGTAGGCTTTTTTTTTTAGATTGCACACAATTATTGAATGACCCCGTAAATGTATTTCTTTGCACTCCAACCTAGCTTTGGTTCAGTGATAAGATTAAAAAAATACTCATATACAGCCTTATTTCTGTAATTGTGTATTTCTAATAAGGTGCTAATGCTAATGCTAATGCTAATGTGCCATAGCTAGCAGCACGTGGATGAGGCGGATGTCCTTCAGTGCGCCTCTGTTATCGGTCATCTCCGCAGTAAATTAAAGTCATTATTCTCACAGACAGACGCCTTATCTGACGCGCGTTTGGAGAGACAGCCTTCCACACGCCTGCTCCCAAAATGCATTCTGTTTCTGTTCACCTTTGCTAGGGGCCACGGACCATCCACTAAACCAGGAGCTTCTCAGACTGGCCCGCTCATAATTCACCTGTCTGTGGGAATCAATTAAATTCTATGTATTTGTGCATAGACGTAAATCACAACAGCAGTCGTCTAGGAGGACGTTAACGCAGTTGTCGATTCGCTAACAACAGATTAGTGAATCAATGTTCGAACGCAGGAAATGCCATAATAACAAACCCTCAAGAGCCATGTTCATAAGTGTCACGGATTGTAAATATACGTTTTATAAAGATGAAAAGGCCTAGTTGCTTCAGATCTTTTACACGATTAAATCCCCAAAATGTCTATATGTAAAAAAATAAAAACATCTACGAAATATCAAAATTGATGAGTATACAATCTCTGTGGGTTGTGTAAAAAAAAAGATTAAAACACACACTCATGTTTGTTTCAGACCAAAGTTACTTGCACAGTTTTATGTTCACCTTAGGCCTCATACACAATCATACAAATCCTATTTCAACACAAAGGATAAATCCCAATGATCTAGACAAATTCTGTGATATAGATGGTGCAGTCTGTGAAATAGGGGGTGTATTCAATTGACTCTTCTAATGTTTACTCTGTTTTTTAACTAGGTAGGTACAGTCAATTTCACTTCAGTCGGAGCATCTGTCACTCTGATAGAGTATACAATTCTTTACTCTGACATTTCGACTCCGGTCCTTTTACTGTGTAGGCCATAACAGTAATATTGAACAGTTATTGAACACTGACGTTTGATTGGTGGGCTGACAGCCAACGCATGAGTTGATTCTGATTTGAGAGAATGGCGCTAAATCACAACATTAAAGGTATAGGAGGATTTTCCCAGATTTCAGGAAAGAACCGCTCTTTTACAATTGACAATTGGGAGGACCAATATTCTTGATGATCTACCCTGAAGTAGAAATTCCTCCTATAAATACCTTTAAATTGAGGGGATATAATATATTTATAAAATAATATATGCCCAAAGCATTATTTGCTGTTTTGTTTGAGACCATCAACAGGAAACGTTAGGCCTAAATATATGCACTTGTAAATGGCTTGCAAAATTAATGTTGGTAAGAAAGTATAATAACATTGGCGAGGACAATTTAACCAAACGTGTGACAGATGAGCCGCTGGAGCCATGTATCCTCTGTATCATGTCTGCACACACGCCTTTATTCCACTGCACTTGTGTCGCTGTTATCAGCAGCAGGCAGGTCGTTCTCCGGGGATTATGGTGCCAGATCTCCCCGCAGATAACTTATCAACACAACGCTGCATGCGCATTCCTTCTGCTCCACGATGGAACTAATTATTTTCCTTATATTCCGTAACCAAGTGTTTTTTGCACTTACACGAGTCTTACTGTTGGGAGATTCTTCAGAGGCGCTCTGGTTGTGGTTATAGATGTGGTGATGTGCCTGTGCTTGTGCCTGTGCGTGCGCGTATGCGTGAGCGAGAAAGAGAGAGCTGCAGGTTAAAAGGCTAAACGGCCCGATCATTGTTGACCGTGAAAAGGCTCTTTTGAAAAGGCAGCAGAGACAAGTCCACATCAGCGCGGACAAAAGGCGGAGCGCTCTGAATCCTATTAACACGAGCGGCCGCTGCAGGAGCGTGTGTTGATGCAAATACAGCGGCACCAGGAGCCTTTGTGCTATATAGAGATGTCACTTACCACTGGGTTTATAGCAGGTGCAGCGCTAACACACACTCATACACACACTCACACACACACTCACACACACACAGACACACACACCGGATGTGTGACAAAATGTCTGCTCTCAGATCATATCAGCTGTGCGCGCGGGATGTAGTGCGTGTTTCGTGTATTCACTCAAGCATGTCATCACCGCTCCAGCCGCGCACGCGCCTGGCGCTCCAGGCCATTTATCAATATGCAAAATCTATGCATTGAAATATAATTCAATAAAAAACGAAAGTAGGATATAACAAACAGTGACATTGGTGTAGGCCCGTGATAACAGAGTGAGGAATATGCCAATGGTACATGAGGAGGGGACAGTGACATCACAGGCTGTTCTCAGGGTTTGATTTGATCTGTGACACACGCACGCCGCACCTTACGCTCAAACACGCTCACATTTAGAAGCATGAGAGCCAATCGCATCTGGTCTGGAGGTGTGAGAGCCGCTTCTGCTGCAGAGCCTTGACGGCATTACATCACCACATAGAGCACCCACTTCACCTCGCTGCACGCGCACGTGCACGCCCGCCGCCAGCTTCATGGAGAGCGCTCACGCGCATGCTTCACGAGTTCTACACACGAGGCCTGATCTGAGTTTATGCAAGTGAGAAACGATGCAAGTGAAGACTCCAGACACACCCCACCATGCGCACGCGCGCACCCACGCTCCTGACAATTATGTAACATCCTTATGTCCACTCAGACATGTAGCATTCTGCGCACCATCAGCCAGGGCTAACAGGCCTTTTACAACACCTTTTAACGCCTTTTAATTTAGAAAATCACAGGAAATTTGTCACATAGATTATATGTGTTTGTGTGTGTGAGTGTGTACAGAACACATAGAATCTATATATATATATATATATATATATATATATATATATATATATATATATATATATATATATATATATATATATATATATATATATATATATACATATGTATGTATGAATATGAACATATAACTATATTCATACGTACACACACATATACTTAAATATACATATTTATGTAGATGTATAGACCCAATATGTACATGTTTGTACAAGCACTTACATCCCATAAGTGAAAAGATGATGGAGTAAGGCCCACTGAGGACCACACCTTATGTAACGCGCCACCACCGCCACTCTGTGCAGTTGTAAGGAGCCATGCAGGGTCCTGTTTTGTATTTTCTCACATATATCAGATGTGCACATATATCTGACCGTGCTTGAATATTAGCCTTCAAATGTGTCTTTTACGTTGACACTTCCATAATTATACAAATAATTAAATTGTTCATTAGAAAAATCCGTGAGGGCCCCTGGTGTGGAGCAGGCTGAAGGAACGACAGGCCTTGTGTTTGTGGGAGAAAGAGAGAGGAGTTGATTAGATTTGTGCAGATGCCATTTTGTGCGGGATGTTGGGCCTGCAGCGGAGGCACGCCCGTGCGGAGAGCCCGAGCAGAGAATCCCTTCGCATTAACAGCAGACTCTAATCCCATTAAATCCTCAATCCGACACACGCCGACGCACGGTCAGTGCGCGCGGAGCTGGAGACCAACCTCACGGGCCACATCTGCTTTTACGCTGAGGAAAGGGGCTGGACCCAATCATGTGTGTGCAGGAAACGTGACAAACGCATCAAACAAAATGTCTATTTCATTTGTAATTGCCTCGCTCACTGCACTGCCACTAACACAGCCATGTTCTGTCAACGACAACGAGCTCTCCTCCTTGAGATTGACCTAACATTAAACGACGTCTAAAATATATGGCCATCACCCGTCATATTCATACACTTGTTATATCAATCTCTCATAATAATTGCCCTCTATTTACTACCGCTGTCTTGGAGCGGGTGTGCGCGGATAGAGACACAGCCTGGTGTTTTACTATCTGCCCGTGCTGTTCCATCAGTGGAAATGGCTTCTTTAGGCCTTACGTTTGTAAAAGCAGCAGCTCAGAACAATGCAGACATTCGACACCTGCCCAACGCACTATTTATTATTCATTATCACAGAAGGTAAAGGCAGCGCTTCAGTGCGGTCCAACACTTTAACGACGACTTTCGACGCATTTCTGCATCAAACCTTTTTCTCCAAAACGGACAATTACGCAGAAATGGATTCAAACATAAAACACATCATGAAACAAACGAGATCCCTGCGTAAGTCAAGGCCGCTGTTCCTCACATGAACACACCTGGCAGAGCTCAGACATGACGCGTTTTCCGTGGTACGGGACGAAACGGGCTCTGTAAACGGACTGACAGGTCTTTAGCCCAGTCCGAGACACACGAAGCCTCGATCTCGGATTTCTGTGAAACCGGATCCTCGCGTGCATTTGGCCCAAATGTGTCTAACGCAGAGAGAGAGCTGTGCGCACTGACCTTGGCTCCAACGCATCCAGAATAATCCACAGAGTAAAATCCCGGCTACATTTCAGTGATGTGCCTGTCATTAGTTCCCAGTGCGGAGTGGAACTGCGGGGGAAGGGCGAAGCGCGCGTGTGGCTCCGTGTTCAGCCCCGTGGATCCCGGTGCAGAGGATGCCCGTGTGCCGCTCAGAGGTGCGTGCGCTGCTGCGGGCAACATGAGAGTCCGCGGCCCGCCCTCCTCCGCGCGCTCGCTCGCTCCTAGTGCTCGGGCGCGTACGTGAGCAGAGCCAATACACGCGCACGCACGTCTCAATTTTGGAGCGTACGGGACAAGATAAGGGCAAAACCATTTCAGACGCTGTGAACACCCGTGGCCTTATAGTGTGTTTTTGTGTGTGTGTGTATGCGTGCGTGCGTACGTATGTGTGTGTGTGTGTGTGTGTGTGCGTGCATGCATGTCCATAGACCACATGAGTTAATTGACGACCAGGGATAATCAGCCTTGGCTTGTGCTTTTCTGCTTTCTGACGATTTAACCGCATGTTAAATACACCTAAAGAAAAGAACATATAACGGCCTTTTATTCTCTACTCCATTATTTCATGATCAGGCTGATGTCATAAGATGATTTCACCGCCACCAAGAAACTTTTTATACTATTATTTTCATTGCATTTTTAAACATATATTCCATATATCCATGCATCCCCACAGATACAGTCAACAGTCATATACTCACAACCACGCACGCACATGCACACAATTTTTACATGTGCAAATGTGCGCTTTATTGTTAGCAGGCACCCACACAAACACGCACGGTGATACTGGCATACATCAAAGAGACTATACACGGTTTGTGTAGTCTCACATCATGTTCTTCCAACACACTTTCCGTTCACATTTTTCATAAGGTCTCACTCAGAGTTCATGGTCCAAGAGTATCAGGCAAAAACTGCACAACTGCATGTTTTTTTTCGATTTTAGGCGTTTGTTTAAAAACTAAAATATTCTTCCCTTGGAAAATACTTTGTACTTTAAGATTTTTAAAGCTTGGGCTAAAGATTTAACCCCCCAAAGTATAAAGTTATTATTATAGTTCCATGGGCTATACTTCATATTCAGTGCTCCTCATTCCTAATGTTTTGTAACCTGTGATGCAAGGGTTATACTTTATTCTAAGTCTGTTCGGCCGTACAGTTAGTCACTCTTATAAGAACTTATAAGTTCAAAAGCACAGCAGCATTGTTCCTGCTCTCAGTCCCACCTGGCCGTCACTCAATCGCAATCAACCTCCAGTCCCCAGCTCTGGTCCTGGTCCACTTTCTGGTCGAGCAGAGGCCACAGTTTGTTGATGCTCAGAATATAGAATATCGACAGAGTGGAGCCGAAGTTTAAAAGCGATGATGGTCAATAGTGGATTTCTTTGGGGATCACTAGTCTTTCAGTTTCAATTATCTACTATATCTATATGTCCATCCATCCAACTGTCAAGTGAGGTCTAGAGTTGGTCAGGTCCAAATTCAGTTCATTTTCCATGCCGTTTAGAATATATACAAATATACCACCATCGCACCCTGCACATGTTTATGATAGGAAGTTTGACAATATTTCCTTCTCCGGAAGTGTTATGAATTCAGAAAGTAACAACACAAAATGAAAAACACTGTCAACATCATGACGCAGCGGTTAGCAATTGTGCTTCTCAAACTCTACCTCCTTTCTGTGAGGAGTTTGCATGTTCTCCCTGTGTCTGTTTCTTCCAGTTTCCACTATACATGTTCAGTAGCTCAGGATGAATCAGTGTGTTTGTAAGAGCGACCAATGGAAACCAGCCCAAGGATAACATCCAGTGTATTTACAGCCTCTGTTTATTAGACTTCACCAAAAACACTAAATACTTAGGCATGAAATAAATGTTTTATGGAGACCACTTCACATGGCATTAATCATCTCCATACACACTGGTGGTAAACTATACTGCTAAAACCTCAGCTGCCCAGGGGCAGGCAGACTAAATCTGAGCCATCTGTCCTTCTGACCATTCACTACCATTCACGCTCAGACTCGGGCAATGTGGGTCAAGTGTCTTAACTAAGGATTCAGTTTGGCACTTTACAGCCACAGCCACCTCACTGTGGCAATAGGTGTTAAGGAGGTTTCCCATCACCATACTAACCAGGCCCTTCCCTGCTTAGGCTCTGCGATCTGACAGGAGGCCCTTCATTTGCAGGTATAGCCACTTGAAGGTGCATAATTGAGTGCGATGAAATGTCTGAAATATTTTGTATTTATTATTTTTTGATTTGAATGCCTTTTTAACACTCTGGCCCCGGGCTGCCCTGATCCATCATCAGTCCATCCATCAGGAAATCAAGACACTAGTTCACTGGACAGAGGACACATTATAGTGCTTTCATTATAAGCAAGATGAGCAGAAACAAAATAAATATATTTGTTAAAATTGTTCACCTTTATTTAGAACAAATCTGTTGCACAGATATGTTTGTTTTACTTCTTTCCAAAAACAACAGTCCCATTTCTAACGAATGCACATAAGTGAAAAAGACTGAATGTTGCCGCCTGGAGAGAATGTGTGGGACAGGAAATGACTTTGGGGTCACCTCTATCACAAAGCTTTTTCCTTGAGGTAGATCTCCATGGAAACATAGACAGAATAGTTCCTGACGGAGGTTCACGTATGAGCAGTCAGTATGGGACAAACATGTGGCATTTCACATAACACTAAAAAAAATACCCATAATGACAATATATTAAAAATCTGATGAAGAGCGTTAAGAGAGTCATGCTTGTGTCGTTTGCAGAAGTCCGATAAAAGCAAAGAGCCACTGTCCCAAGACACACGACCGGAGCCACACACACATCTGGAACAGGCTGAGCTTCAGGAGGGTCATGTTCTCAGAGAGAGAGAGGTGCAGGCGCCTCAAACGGGACCGGGCCTTACTCCGCTTGTGCCTGAAACACAAACAACAGATACACACGTTTTAGATTTGATCCATTCAGACGTGCAGGGGTGTCAAACCGGTCTTCAAAGGACCTCGGTGGAGTCTGGTGTGCTCCTACTTGGTTGGAATATTCTAATGTGGTTTTTCTGCCGTTTTCAAATAATCTGAATCTGAAGTTAAACCTGGCCCTGTGCTATAATATTGAGTAAGTATCAAAATAGGCAATAATCCCATAATCCTGGTTAAGCCAATGAGGAGGGGCCTGGCCTATCCCCCCCGGTCTTCCTAGGTGGGCGGCACGGTGGCTGAGTGGATAGAACTCCCGCTTCTCAGCAAGAAGGTCCTGGGTTCGAATCCCGGTCGGAACAGGGCCTTTCTGAGTGGAGTTTGCATGTTCTCCCCATGCCTGCTCCAGTTTCCTCCAGGTGCTCCGGTTTCCATTACCACTAAAAACATGCACACAAGGTAAAATCTTCCAGCTCCAGTAGTCCTGACCAAGCCGAGCATCTACATCTGGAGATGGGTTCTCCCGGGCGCTGTTACTACGGCGACCTCTGCTCCTGATGTAAGCTTTAGTGGCATCAGGATGGGTCAAATACAGAGGATGAATTTCCCTACGGGGATTAATAAAGCGCACCTTTACCTTTACCTTGCCTCACATCACAATCACAACCCTTACTCTTACACCACACTCTTGAAATAATCAATGACTTCTTCCCTCTGGCAAAAGATCTTGTTTCCGCAAGCTGTTATCAGTTTCAAAGAAGCACTTTAAAGATCTTGTACTTATCATTTAAAATCGTTAGAATTTGATCTGTTTTTATTGATTGTTTCACAGTGACAATCTTTTGAGCGTCAACCATCAATTCCAATGACAGAGAGGAGTTAAAAAAAAGTAATGTGTGTGTGTTCTGAGAGGGGAGAGGGAGTCAGAAGTGTGAGGTCTGGAGCGTCACGGACCTGGCCAGAGCGCGCACACAGCAGCGAGACATGTAGATTAAGGAGGAGGACGAGGCTCGCGTCTGCAGGCTGCTCTCGATGCCTCTGAGCAGGTCGTTGGTCTTCAGCAGCAGCAGCATCTGACGAGGGATCTGGTTCAGCAGCGCGCTGATCTGTGGCAGGTACAGGGCGGCGTTGGTGCGGATCTCCACGTCCTGCACACAGAGGAGGAAAGAGGACGTTTGTTTGTATGGCACGATTCATACAGGGGCGCAACTCCTTTCCTTATTATGTCAGAGATTTTATACTTGCTTCTTTTTATGCTAGAGATTTTATTTTAGTTTAGAGTTATTCATTTATCTTATGCTGTGTGCTCCTCATTCCTACTGTTCTGTATCTTGTGATGCAACACTGACATTTCACCAGTGTGAATAAGTAGGTAACCTTTATATACATAGCGCAATTTTACAGACCACAAAAAGCTTTGCAATGTTCAGAGTTCAGATATTGTTCCATTCTCTCCACTGGCAAATCAAAGCCCCCAACCAACACCATCCATTCCCTCTCTCTTTGCTCGATAGGTATGAATGGCGCCGTAAAGATGGCGCCGTAGCAAGAGCTCTGGTGTGTGCCGTCTGGTGCACACTGGGGTAGTCTTGCACACTTTTTCCAATGTGGTTTTACTGCAAATGGCAAATAAATGAATCTGATCTGAATCTGATGTATGTTTTTTGTGTTAGGGGAAGCCAGAGCATCCGGAGGAAACCTACGCAGACACGGGGGGTTGTATGTTACACATACATAATGGAAGAAAAAAACACGTACTGATACAGCTGGCCAGGATGGGGAACTGCATTCACAATACAAGTCCTCCAACTTTAATATATTTTTCTGATTTTAGAGGTTAAACATTTATGTAATATTCCATTTCACAGAGGACCTTGAAGTGCTGGAAACAAAAAAAAACTGATGTGATGAAAATGTTAAAAAAGAAGCAATTGTCTTCATCAAACCAACATTGGCCAGAGATTTTAAAGCTGCTCCAGTCTGATCTCATTCCTTACCCGAGTTCAGGTTAAAACAAACTACAGTAATGTGTAACAATCTATATAGGAGGTACAAATATACATGTTATATTTTATACTTATACTGCAAATAAAATTGTAGTACCTGCTATGAAGTAAAATCTAGCCATAATAGCAGCATGACAAATATTGAAGACAAAATAATTTTGTTCCAGTGAGGAAAATTCAGTGTTGCAGCACACGTTACATGCTGTAGGACTATAGAGCGCAACAAAAACACATAACACAAAAGGCTGCGAGTGCTTCTTCAGGTTCAGAATTTAGTATAAATCTATAATTCACTCTTGACCAGCCCTCCAGATACAGTAGAGCTATAGATCTAAGTGCTGCCTTTGACACCGTCGACCATAAGATCCTCTTACAGAGACTAGCGGACTGGGTTGGCGTCGCTGGCACCACCCTAAGTTGGTTTAGGTCTTACCTTGAAGACAGGAAGTACTTTGTGGAGATTGGAAACTGTGTCTCAGATCATATAGCCCTGACCTGTGGAGTACCACAGGGGTCGATCCTGGGACCTCTTCTGTTCAATCTCTACATGCTGCCGTTAGGTCAGTTAATACGCAGAAACGAAGTGTCCTATCATAACTATGCAGACAACACTCAGATCTATGTCTCACTGACTGCAGGAGAACATGGACCAGTGGACTCACTCCTTCACTGTATCCAACAGATCAGTGAGAGGATGCAAAACAACTTCCTTCAGCTAAAACTGAAATGATTGTCTTTGGTCCCCAGAAACAAAGACAGCGTCATCTGTCACCTCCAGTCCCTCTCCCTAAAGCCTAGCGTACATCGACAGAGAAACTGGGGACAACTAGTTGCAAGGCGGCTTTTGGCAACTGAGAGGAGATGATGGGAGATGATCAGTTGCCAAAATCGGTCGATGTGCGCGCTCTTACAACTGGAGATAAACAGTCGGTCTCCAGTTTCAGTCAGTTGCCCGTGTTCTACTTTTCGGCAACTAGTTGTCCTCAGTTTCAAAGATATGACCCGATGTGCGCGCTCCATGCGCCGCTCCGACAACGTGTGTGTATTGCGTGTATTGCGATCCCGCAATAGTTTATGTCAGAAAACACACTGTAGTTGAGACCAGTTGCTGTCGATGTATGCGCTGTTATTCCCGAGACTGGTCTGCTACTGGGAGTTGCCCGTTTTCGTCAGATTGTCGATGTGTGCGGGGCAGCAACTCATATGCGACGGATATAATCACTTGCCAGTCTGATGTACGCTAGGCTTAAAACCTTCAAACAAGGTCAGAAATCTAGGGGTAATACTGGACTCTATTAAATTTTAATAGCCACATTAAATCAGTAACATCAGCAGCTTTCTACCACCTAAAAAACATTGCCGGGATGAAAAACATAGTGTCTAAAGCAGACTTGGAGATTCTTATTCATGCATTTGTCTCCAGTAGGTTAGACTACTGCAATGGCCTGCTCACAGGTCTGTCCAAACAGGCTGTAAAACAGCTGCAGTACATTCAAAATGCAGCAGCTCGAGTCCTGACTAGAACCAGGAAGTACGACCACATTAGTCCAGTTCTCAGGTCTCTGCACTGGCTTCCTGTGGCTCAGAGAATAGACTTTAAAACAGCTCTGCTTGTGTACAAGTCTCTCCATGGCCTCGCACCAAAATATATTAGTGACATGTTAGTCCCATATGAACCAGCCCGGACTCTTAAGGAGCACAGGGACTGGACTCCTGTTAGTGCCCAGAGTCAGAACTAAACATGGGGAGGCTGCTTTTCAGGTTCATGCTGCTAAAATCTGGAACAATCATCCTGAAGATGTGAGACAGGCCTCCTTTTTGACAATGATTAAAACCAGGTTAAAAACAGTTCGGTTTATCTGTGCATACAACTGAGGGATTTTATATTTTTTTTATTCTTTTTAATGGACTGTGATTATTTATGATTTTAATGCTTTCTTGTTTTGTTCAGCACTTTGAGTTGCCTTGTATATGAATTGTGCTATACAAATAAACTTGCCTTGCCTTAGACAAAGATGTAATTAAGTATTGTTTTTTTTCCCTTTTCTTTTAAATCATCGATAAAGCAGTTCTATAGGAGATTTAGGACGGATAAGAAAGCAGATCAAAAGATAAAACACTCTGTGGTTCCAAATGTGGCCACTTGAAGCATTTCACTGCTGACACTAAATGCGCTCTCCAGTCCCTCTTGGGGGACAATAATTAGTAGCAATTATTGGAGGCCTGGTTAGTGAAGCAGCTGTCAGCGGGAAGGGAGTAGGCGACAGTGGCTCATTTGCATAAGAAAGCCTCCATAAGCACAGGCTGTAAAGTGAGGACTGCAATAGGCTCACCGAGGCACTGGACGAGGGCGAGAGCGAGTGGGAGGGAAACACTGGGACAATACCAACACAGCAGCAGGATGATGAGAGGATGGGAGACTGTTTAATAACCTCATATATTAAGTGATCCACCTTCATATGTACGCGTTTTACAAAGGGGTGGTGAATTGTCCATTTTGTAGCGAAAAGGGACTCTGAGGAGCACAGGGACTGGCCTCCTGCTGGTGCCCAGACACAGGACTAAACATGGGGAGCCAGATTTTCACATTAATGCAGCTAAAATCCGGGATGGTCTTCCTGAAAATGTGCTAAAAACAGTTCTGTTTAACTGGAGGATTACATCTTGGGCATTTTAATGTACTGCGATTATCTGTGTCTGATTTTTATGTTATTATTGTTTTGTTCAGCACTTTGAGTTACCTTGTGTATTAACTGTGCTGTAATAATAATAATAATAATAAATTGGTTTTATACGCCGCTTTTTTAGACACTCAAAGACGCTTCATTATTGATTCACTCCATACACCCCATTTGCCATACAAATAAACGTGCCTTGCCTTATGAGGTCCCAAGACGCATGCATTATATTGTGTATGACAATACAAGCTTAAACATATCCGAGCTGGGTGAGATTAGGTTAGAGGGTTAAAAAGGGGCATTATCTTGGGGGACCGAGCATTCGCCATCGCTGCTCCCACTCTTTGGAATTCTCTCCCCCCTCACCTCAGACTCACTAAACTCCTTCAAAAAAAACAGTAAAAAACTCACCTCTTCCTTCAAGCATACAGCTCTTAGTTTCAGCATTGCACTCTTTTTTCCTGCTTTTAGATTTTTAGATTTGTGTTTTGGTTAGTCTGTCTGAATGTGTATATCGAGAATTATGAAGTCTTTGAAAAGCGCTATATAAAACCAATGCATCATCATCATTATGTATATCCCAGATGTTTGAAAGTGAAAGCAGACAGAGCATGAGAGCAGCACCTCAGAGTGAGTGATGGGGGCGGAGCTGATGCCAGAGTTGACCGCGGTCCAGGAGCGTGCGGTCAGCACGCAGGCGAACAGCGGGTACAGGTCTCCGGCTCCCAGTCTGCGGCTCGACTGCTCCATCTCCTTCAAGTCGCAGTTTATGAGCGCCTGCCACAGCTTACAGTACTCCACCCTGAAGTCGGTCTGCAGCACCTGACGCACAAGGAGAGGTCCAATTACAATCTGGACGACAATAGGGCCCAGACTCAATCAATTATTCTCAAGTAATAAATCAAAATAACTTACTTTGTTGAACCATACATAGACTTAAACATGCTGAGAAGTTTTACGACATCCACACTCATGTGCACGCCCAAACATAATTTATTTTCGTTGTTTTAACAGTATTCCTTCTCTTATAAACAGCCAAAATGCAGCCAAACGCAGTGCCCTGCATTTTGGCTGTTTCACAAATTTTTGTAAAACCCCTTAAAAAAGGTATATAGGAGGATTTTCTACTCCCGGGTGAATCCTCAAGACTATTGGCCCTCCTAGTTGTCAATAATTCTGGTGATACATGCTTGTTAAATAAGACCAGAGTTTTGTTGTGTGGAGAGGGCGGTTCTTTCCTAAAATTTGGGAAAATCCTCCTATATACCTTTAAGTCAAATATTTTTTGAATGATCCTTGGCAGTTTTGTGGGGGTTGTGAGATAATTTTGATATTACAAGTTATTACGATATTAAAATGTATACATTAGTTGGGGTCATTGGACTGAAAAGATTGGGAACCCTTGTCTTCATTTAAGTAACTATAATGATGGTGAACTGTGTTAAGTCTCTCTGGTCGGGGGGAGCACTGACCCAGAGTGTGGAATACTGCGCACAAACCGATGGAATCATTAGGGCTTAGGTGCCACTCAAAACAGCGCACTTTGCTCAGACCGACGTTAAATGACTTGTTTATCAGAAAGCTTTTAGTGGTAATAAAGTGCGCTGTGTCTGCGTGGCGTTCTGGTGCACTCTGCGAGCCGACCAAGGCCCCGCGGCATGACAAATGGACTGCATTATTAGAAAGAAAATCATTTGTGGTGCTGCCGCTGGAGATTTCTCACCTGATAGAGGCCGTGGTCCAGGAGGATGATATGAGTTTTGCCGCTCTGGGGGCATTTTCGCACTAGCACGTTTCCAGGATGTGGGTCGCAGTGGACGAAGCCGTGGACGAAGATCATTTCGCTGTACATCTTTCCCAGGTTCTCAGAAAGCTGCACACCACACAATGCATTAGGATTGACTTTGCTGTTTTGAATAGAGATGGCTGTGGATCAGTAAACGGGGCACATAAATGCAAAACCTTGTTACATTGTTCCCTGATCAAAAACATACCGGTAAATAACGAGAATTGTCGAAAACACTCTGTGCCTCATTATCTGCCACTTTTAGCTTCAAGTCTCTGCTCTGACGTATGTATGTTATTATGGTCCTTTTTAAAACAAATCTACAGTCTCTCAATAAATATTTTTTATGGTAAATTTCATTTTTGTTTGGCTACATATGTAGACCCAGACAAGCAATATAAACTAGGGGTGTGCAAAATCCCCAAACAAATTAGGTAAATATATATTTTGCCGTTTATTCAAAATAGTGAAACGTAACACATGTGCTGCTCATGACTCATGTACAGTGACTTAGAAACACACACACATACACACACAGATGATGATGAGCAGCCTAAGGAGCAGTGACTACACTTAAATGTGTATTGATCGTGGGCTGTAACCGCTGGCCTCTGCAATCAGAAGACACAGGCTTTTCTCCGGGATACACCTCCATCACACACACAAACACTTATAGTGGGACTTTACTCTCTCCACAGAAGAACCGTTTATACATATCATCATGTATTTTCATAGGAGTCTGATTGTTATCAAGCAACCGTTTCGTACAGCGCTTTTATGGCACTCAATGTCAACATATGTCAATGTTATATGTCATACAATAAAGCAGTATAATTCTGTAAAGCACATGATCAATTTCATCTTGGTTATCCTTAATAAAATAATAGGCAGGAGAATTCATTAATATTTAGACATATACACCTTGAAACCTAAAATGTGGACTGATTTTAGCCATTTTCTTTGTAGAGACAATACTTATGGAGAAAACAATGTATTTTGGTGTTCACTATTAATTGAGCAATAGGTCAATATAGTAATTATTGTGACAGGCGTCTATGGGACATGCACAGATGCTTTCCATTGGATCATTCATTCACTCCACACTGTGGTAAGCTACAACTACAGCCGCAGCCGCTCTGGGGCAGACAGACGGAAGAGAGGCTGCCAATATGCACCATTGGCCGATGGCACCACCAACTCTTAACTGTCACGCTAGACAACATGAGCAAAGTAAAAACACAAGAGGAGTGAGTGCATACGGAGATAATAATAATAATGTGGAATAAAGTGAGTCTTGTAATGTAGAACACAGAGGAAAGGTCTGAGGCACTTTAACTCAACTTAAAAATCCTTTCATGTGGAAGACACATAGCAAAGCGTTTCGAACACTCTAGTCTTCATCAAGGCAAGTCCATGAGTGAAGTGTCAGAGACCAGGGTTTATAAGCAGGTGTAAAACATGAAAAAAGCAAGACCACCCATTTTCTCAAGTGAGTCCAGCCGTAACCTGGACAATTGAGGAAATGGTATTCAACCATTCCCTTGATATTGATGAAGGGCATTGTAAAATTACTCACATGGACCATACACTATAAAAATAAAGATAAAGTATGAGGTCATAATTTTTGAATAGAGTGGTTTTTATCTTAATTTGAGTACATTCTGACTGTCTTAAAACAAGATTTGTCAAAGGGACAAAGCCATGTCTTATTTTAAGAACTGTTTAAGAACATTTGTTGTACTATTCTAAAAACAATAGAATTTCTCTTGTCCCATTGGCAAATCCTGTTTTAAGGCAGTCAAAATGTGTTCAAATTAAGGCACACTGTCAAATTTGAGCAATTTCGGACTTATTTTTCATCACTTTTTGCAGTGTAGTTAAACAATGCCACTGTCTCAACGATTGTCAAACATTTTAAATCAGTTGTGAATAAAAATATGATTTCAGCCACCACCCCTCAGCATTAGAAGTGAAGATTACTCTTAAGACTGTGAGAAGTGATAGCTAGAATGTCAACTGAAAAGAAAAGTGTAGAAATCTGGCAGGAACAAGTGAAGTGAGAGTAGTACCTGGTTGACATTGATGCCATTCTTCTGGATGTACTCCTTGTCATTAACCTGTCCCCCATCCGCAAAGTCCATGGTTAAAATCCTCTTAGTCGACAAATCCCAGTAGATTCTAGGCACCTGCGTCGTTTTGTGGGAAGCAGAAAACAAGCCTGTGACGGATTACATTTGAAGCGTTTGAGCATACAGTCTTCACCATACCTTCAGGAAGGGAAAGTGAGACAGCAATTTGGCAACTTTTTCTGCGTTCTTTCCCTCGTTCAGGAAGTCCAGCTCTAAAGGCATGTTCTTTTTGGCCTCTTCCAGCAGCCACATGAACGCAAAGTCTGGGAAGAGCCAGTGGACGGCCCTGACCAGCACCTGGGGTAACAACGGTCAGATAGAAAATGAAAAATAATAATCCTTTCGTTTAGAATGTGTGTTGTCAGCACATCAAACTGCTGCACATCAAACTGCTTCAGAGTCGAGGGGAAATACTTGAAGTGAAAGTCGCCCGCAGGCTAGTAAATAAAGGATTAGATTGCTACTTAGCATTCATCAAGTCTCACTTTCAACAGTAGACAAGCAGGAAGAACGACAAGCAGCGACTGGGGTTACAAATAGTGCATTAAAAATCTAAAACTATAGTTTGATTTTTTGTCTGTATGCTCACCTCCATAACCAGGATATCCTTTGAGCTCTGCGTTTGCACTTTGGGGTGTTGCACTTTGACGGCCACGGTTCTCCCATCATGCAACACGGCCTTGTGGACCTGGGCCAGAGACGCTGCTCCCTGAGGGCACTCGTCAAAGGAGACAAAGATCTCTGACAACTGCAGGGGACAGAGGGCAGAGAGGCCTGTCAGATCAGCACCAGATAACGGGCCAGCCACACAAACACGGCTCCTGGGTCTAGGAGAGAGCCGACGGAGAGGGGCCACACACAAACAGGGATCCAGGATTTGACTGTGTATAGTAAGTGGTGCTGACACGTAGTTTAAGTAGCGTCTTCTCTGACTGGTTTTCGTCAAGTCTTTTCAGATTTGTACACAAAGCATATACTGTTTACTGAATAGAGTGATTATTAGAAGTGAGAGCAGAGAGAGCAGGACCAGAGAGAGCAGGACCAGAGAGAGCAGGACCAGAGAGAGCAGGACCAGAGAGAGCAGGACCAGAGAGAGCGAGACCTGCTCTCTGGACCAGAGAGAGCAGGACCAGAGAGAGCAGGACCAGAGAGAGCAGGACCAGAGAGAGCGAGACCAGAGAGAGCAGGACCAGAGAGAGCGAGACCAGAGAGAGCGAGACCAGAGAGAGCGAGACCAGAGAGAGCGAGACCAGAGAGAGCAGGACCAGAGAGAGCAGGACCAGAGAGAGCAGGACCAGAGAGAGCAGGAGACCAGAGAGAGCAGGACCAGAGAGAGCAGGAGACCAGAGAGAGCAGGAGACCAGAGAGAGCAGGAGACCAGAGAGAGCAGGACCAGAGAGAGCAGGAGACCAGAGAGAGCAGGAGACCAGAGAGAGCAGGACCAGAGAGAGCAGGACCAGAGAGAGCAGGACCAGAGAGAGCAGGACAGAGGGCAGAGAGGCCTGTCAGATCAGCACCAGATAACGGGCCAGCCACACAAACACGGCTCCTGGGTCTAGGAGAGAGCCGACGGAGAGGGGCCACACACAAACAGGGATCCAGGATTTGACTGTGTATAGTAAGTGGTGCTGACACGTAGTTTATGTAGCGTCTTCTCTGACTGGTTTTCGTCAAGTCTTTTCAGATTTGTACACAAAGCATATACTGTTTACTGAATAGAGTGATTATTAGAAGTGAGAGCAGAGAGAGCAGGACCAGAGAGAGCAGGACCAGAGAGAGCAGGACCAGAGAGAGCAGGACCAGAGAGAGCAGGACCAGAGAGAGCGAGACCTGCTCTCTGGACCAGAGAGAGCAGGACCAGAGAGAGCAGGACCAGAGAGAGCAGGACCAGAGAGAGCAGGACCAGAGAGAGCGAGACCAGAGAGAGCAGGACCAGAGAGAGCAGGACCAGAGAGAGCGAGACCAGAGAGAGCGAGACCAGAGAGAGCGAGACCAGAGAGAGCAGGACCAGAGAGAGCAGGACCAGAGAGAGCAGGACCAGAGAGAGCAGGAGACCAGAGAGAGCAGGACCAGAGAGAGCAGGAGACCAGAGAGAGCAGGAGACCAGAGAGAGCAGGAGACCAGAGAGAGCAGGACCAGAGAGAGCAGGAGACCAGAGAGAGCAGGAGACCAGAGAGAGCAGGACCAGAGAGAGCAGGACCAGAGAGAGCAGGACCAGAGAGAGCAGGACAGAGGGCAGAGAGGCCTGTCAGATCAGCACCAGATAACGGGCCAGCCACACAAACACGGCTCCTGGGTCTAGGAGAGAGCCGACGGAGAGGGGCCACACACAAACAGGGATCCAGGATTTGACTGTGTATAGTAAGTGGTGCTGACACGTAGTTTATGTAGCGTCTTCTCTGACTGGTTTTCGTCAAGTCTTTTCAGATTTGTACACAAAGCATATACTGTTTACTGAATAGAGTGATTATTAGAAGTGAGAGCAGAGAGAGCAGGACCAGAGAGAGCAGGACCAGAGAGAGCAGGACCAGAGAGAGCAGGACCAGAGAGAGCGAGACCTGCTCTCTGGACCAGAGAGAGCAGGACCAGAGAGAGCAGGACCAGAGAGAGCAGGACCAGAGAGAGCGAGACCAGAGAGAGCAGGACCCGAGAGAGCAGGACCAGAGAGAGCAGGACCAGAGAGAGCGAGACCAGAGAGAGCGAGACCAGAGAGAGCAGGACCAGAGAGAGCAGGACCAGAGAGAGCAGGACCAGAGAGAGCAGGAGACCAGAGAGAGCAGGACCAGAGAGAGCAGGAGACCAGAGAGAGCAGGAGACCAGAGAGAGCAGGAGACCAGAGAGAGCAGGACCAGAGAGAGCAGGAGACCAGAGAGAGCAGGAGACCAGAGAGAGCAGGACCAGAGAGAGCAGGACCAGAGAGAGCAGGACCAGAGAGAGCAGGACCAGAGAGAGCAGGACCAGAGAGAGCAGGACCAGAGAGAGCAGGACCAGAGAGAGCAGGACCAGAGAGAGCAGGACAGAGAGAGACAGGACCAGAGAGAGCGAGACCAGAGAGAGCAGGACCAGAGAGAGCAGGACCAGAGAGAGCAGGAGACCAGAGAGAGCAGGACCAGAGAGAGCAGGAGACCAGAGAGAGCAGGAGACCAGAGAGAGCAGGACCAGAGAGAGCAGGACCAGAGAGAGCAGGACCAGAGAGAGCAGGACCAGAGAGAGCAGGACCAGAGAGAGCAGGAGACCAGAGAGAGCAGGAGACCAGAGAGAGCAGGACCAGAGAGAGCAGGAGACCAGAGAGAGCAGGACCAGAGAGAGCAGGACCAGAGAGAGCAGGACCAGAGAGAGCAGGAGACCAGAGAGAGCAGGAGACCAGAGAGAGCAGGACCAGAGAGAGCAGGACCAGAGAGAGCAGGAGACCAGAGAGAGCAGGAGACCAGAGAGAGCAGGAGACCAGAGAGAGCAGGAGACCAGAGAGAGCAGGACCAGAGAGAGCAGGAGACCAGAGAGAGCAAGACCAACAATTCTGGGTATCGTAGTTCTGGGACAAAGATAACTAGATCTCTCTAGCGTCTCTGAAATGTGCTCAGATGTGTCACCTACATGCGACTTGCTTTATAACTAAAGAGCAGATTCCAGACTGAGCCAAAATCCATACTGCCTTGAAGCAACTTGGATTTTACTTCCTGATCCTGGCGCTCTGCCCACTTCCAAGCTCAGTTCTCACGGTCATGTAATGTGTGCAACGATGACACTGACATTTCCCCCACTGCAGAAACAAATAAAGGTTTCCTCATCTTCTCTTAGACAGAAGGGGCGGAGCTACATGTTTGTCCCAGAAGTTTCTTAGCATGGATGGATCAAAACAACTGCTGGTCCATTTTTGATTAACATAGTTCAGTTTGCAAAATATGTCCCATGTATGTAAGTATGTATAAGAATTATTAGTTAAAGCCGGGGTCGAGTTTCAATTAAATCAGTATATTGTCCCTGTCTGGTGTGTGTGTGAATGGTTGGTGTTGGTCGAAGTGGCACATACTGGTTGCCTCGCTCTGTCAGTCTGCCCCAGGGCAGCTACAGTAGTATATCACCACCGTGTATGGAATGAATAAATAATAAAGGGAACCATCTTTGAGTGTCCAAAATGTGCTTTATAAAACTGATGCATATATTTTTAAAATAATAATTAATATAACTAATAAAAATGATCATTATTATGAAAAACACTCATAATAGTATTATTAATAATCATAATATGATTATTATAACTATTATTATTATCATCATTATTTTCATTATCAAATTTACTTTGAAAACACTTCCATTACCATGAGCTTTAGAATCCTCAAACTCTCCACATCAACAATGAATCAATTATCTCTGGTCCTGGAATAGTTTTCAGTGTTTTATTTAAGTAGCTTTCAGTTCCTGCAACTCAATGTAAATATGTAAAAATGAGTACGTTTATTATGATTCTGGGTGTAGTAATGGTCTTAAGTGATCCTTGATGAAGGGTATAATGTGTACAAATGCCCCGCTCCTGTGTTGGTTTCCATGTGGTGAAGTTCATAAAGATGCTAATGTATGCTGATGGAGGCGCTCCTCTGGGACACGGCGCTCTGTGATAAGTTCAAATGAGTTATGGAAAACACTACGGCCCCGGGGCCCTTTGGTGGGGGGCCAAACGCTTTTCTGTCAGCGCCAACAGCACACCGGACATCATCCATAACCCCAGCTGTATGGAGCTGGGAAATTAATTGCTCAATTCATGTTTTCACTGGAGAAATGCCCTTTAAGCTCTTTGTGTAGTAAGTGGAGCAGAGTGCAGACCGGGAGTTTATGTAGTGTCTTATTTGACTGTTTTTGTCAAGTGCTTCAGATTTGTACACAAAGCACACAGTGTTTTCTGAGTGGAGTGTGCATTAGGAGACGGACCAGAGACAGACCAGAGACAGACCAGAGACAGACCAGAGACAGCCCAGAGAGAGACAAGAGAGAAACAATAGAGTAAGCAAAACCAGAAAACAAATGAATACATTTTGAGACTAAGATTACACTCTAGATGTGTTGATCTTATTTAAAAAAAGAATAACACATAATGGTAAAAAAATGCATATGGCACCCAAAAAAACACATTTTAAAGTAGACTTTTTGGGCTCTCAACCAAAAAGGTTCCAGACCTCTGCTCTTGTGTATGACTGTGGCCTCTTCTAAATGATAATTCGACAGTTACTTACGCACAGAGCCACAATATCTACAATGACCGGTACATAGTTAGATGATATATCATAAATCTATATTCATGTTTTAGTGGGGGTTTGCTACAAAACAAACAAAAACAATTCTTTGAGTAATCTTGCACTTTCCATGCTCAAATATTGAAACGTGAATGTGTGTTGCTCCCACCTCTTTCCCCAGGTCCTCTTTGATGACCTGCTTGATTTCCTCCATGCTGCTCTGGGGGGCTTGGCTGTGCAGGACCTTCAGAGTGGAGGTGTACTCTGGAGGCAGCAGGTAGTCCAGGGCCCCCAGGTGCTGGCCCACTTTGATAAAGGTCCCACGATTGGCACAGCACAGGTCCCGCAGCCGCTCAGCCGACCTCTGATGCACCTGGGCAAAGCATGTTTGTAGAACAATTCATTCAAAAGAAAGACCACCTTCAAAACAGTAATGGGACTATACTAACATATGCCAAACCAACATTTAAAACTCAATTTTGATCAAGTTTTGATTTGAGATGTAATAAATTGTTACAAATAAAAAAAATACTTTCATGATTCCCCCCAGTTTATCAATTAAAGTTCAACAATAAACACAGCAGATATAGAGCCACGCAACAAAACAGGCTCAAACATCCAAAAAGAAGAAACAATATTCACACACTCACATGAATATGGGGAGTTACCGGATCAAAAGTATTAAATACACTTGCTCAGTATCTAGTTTAAATATCAGTTTCAGAGCCGAAAATCGAAAAATGAAATGTCAAAGACGGCAGATTCACCCTTATTTAAACAATTAGGCCATAGTACTTTTTTCATGTAATATTAATTCAATATTAATTTTGCTGATTAATGTCAAGCAGAACCACATTTTTAAAGAAGAATAAGAAAGAACCTAAAGGGACAGTAGTATTTGAGTGAGTGATTTAGTTTTGTGATTTATAAAATAACCCCATATCCTAAATTATTTATTCTGCTGCTTTACATTTACTTTTGAGCACTGTATATTATACTGTACTTGTGCTTTTACTGTACTGCGCATTGCAACCATGACATAACACCACCATGGAACAAAAGGATCTTGATGAGATCTACAACATCAACCGAATAGGCAGTCAACATGCTGTAGCCAAAATAACACAAAGAAGCCAAGTAAAACGGGTTTTGAAGCTGGGGTACCTAACTTCTTTCCCCAAATATATAACACATGTTCTTAGTCCCAACAAAAACGGACTTGAGCACATTTTGTGAACAAATTGGACCACATGTCATTCTTTGAACAGTTTTGTTATTGTTTGTGTGATATTTTTTTTGCTCAAATTAATTGCCTACAGTGATTTAATAAAGTAGTCAGAATCTAGGAATCTAAGAAGAGCCCTGAGAGTCACTATTTAATAAGTTGGGCTAAGAGCTGATTGGTTGAATAAGAGTGGTCCCCTCTGTTTCACTTCCGACTAAAAAAGCTGTGCAACAAAAGGCCAGAAAAATACATGCATGTGAAAACTAGTGAAAAAAACTATTTTGAGCGCAAGGAACTTCAGTTTAGATTTTATAGTTTATTTGTTTGTGGTTTGAAAGTTAGGTACCTGAGCTTTAATATTTGTGTCCTCAAATTGGACAAAAGCAGTACGAGAGCAGTTTGATTGGTATAAATATAATTAACAAAGGGACTAGTGGTAAAGTGGTATTGGCAAACCCTATAAAAGGACTAAACAACCTAAGTGATGGAGTGTAATTGATTGGAATGAGGTGTGCGGCCGGCAGACCCGCAACCAGCTGCTTACGGAGCCCCTCTCTCCTGGGACCGCTGCAAATAAATAGGCGTGAAATTAGCTCCCCTTAACCTTGGTTCCCCCCCCAGCCCCACCAAAAAAACACCACATCCATCCAAACACAGGCCGGGTCCCAGGGGGGGGTTTGACACGAGGGCTGTGTGGCCAATCAGAGCAGAGCATTCGCAGGAACAAGCCACGAGAGAGCGGTGTGAGCTCCTGTGGCCCCGGGACACAATCTCATCAGATCGCCTTTACATTAGTGTCACAATGTTTGGCAGAGGCGACTGGGAGTGCGGAGCCACCAGGGAGGGGATGGAAGGAGAACTGTTCTACACATGCAGCGTGGTAGAAAAATTGCACAAGGAAATATTGTCAGCATACCTTTGTAAAACAGACCAATCATATCATGTCAAATATTTTTAAAGAGGGGGGAAAAAAAAGTATTAAGTCGCCAATTGTGCAAGTTCTCTCACTTAAAAAGATGAGAAATGTCCAATATATTAATAGGTATACCTAAAATATGGGAAACAAAATGGGAAAGATATAACCATAAAAATCTCATTCTCTGATTTTTAAATAATTTATATAAAAATGATGGTGGAAAATAAGTATTTGGTCAATAGCAAAAGTCTCCATCTCAATATATTGTCATTTCCAACAAAAGGGATATAACAGAGGTCGGGTCTTCACAAGGTTTTCCACACACTGGTATTTTGGTCCATTCCCAGTAGTAGTAGACTAAACCAGTTGGGGCAAAACCAGTAAAAAAAATAAAAAGATATATTGTATACATTATGAGTTATTGTCCAAGATCAGATTGTTTAGTGGTCCAGATATGGCAGCTGAACGTTCAACCGACCTGTGCTACAGTGTGACATCAATAACCTCTCCATGCAACAGACTGCATCATGACAAGGATAAACGGCTCTAATAACGACTGCCACACATGCGTTTGATGCAGCCACGCCCCTGTGCAAAACTCAAATTATTTAATCTTGCACATTTTTCTCCTCCTCTGTAAAACCCACAAGCTCTGCAGATGTGGGAGAGCCGAGCAATGGAGTAAATTTGCCAAGGGCTCGTGCCTAATCACCAGATCTGTGTGGCTGTGTGTAATCAGGCTGCCTTGTCCTGAGGAGGCATCTCGCAGCGGAAAGAAGACGCCGTGAAGCTAATGACGATCTGTGCTCTCAATACGAGCGCTGCAGCCTCACGGAGACAGCTGCTCCAAACACCGCTCTGCTGACTCTCAATCACCTCGTCCAGCTATATCACCGCCTTATTGATTTACATCTATGAAGAAATCACACTCTATAACATTGGCCATGGAACAGATGTTGAATGGCGTAGCTCAGCTTGCTTTGAGTGTGCGCCGTATATATGTACGCACAAACACTAGTTCCTCGCTGGGAAAGTGGTGGAATACTCACATGTTCAGTTACAGATCGGTCTATAGAAAGCTGGGTGCGTAATATTTGATGCATACATTAAGTTTATATTGTGAATATAGTGTAGGGCTGTAGAGTTAATTTGATAATTTTTGGATCCTGAAATGTTCAGTGAAAATGGGATTTTCTTTATACATTTGACCAAAACAACTCTAAAGTGATGCAACGTGGTGACTTGATACACATTCGGTTATTTGATTAAAAATACTTTGTGAACACATTTTCCCTTTTACTGTTATTATATAAAATGATAAGGGTTATAAAACCTCTTCTCAGCATGTATTAGGTCTATGTAACGTTCAAAACACAATTATTGGTCACTAAAACCGTTGACAACTATTTCAATAAGTGACTAGTTGTAATTGTTCAATTAACTTGTTACAACCTTAATACATATTCCACATTTCCACAAATAATGACATTGTATTGGATTTTTTTGTGTGAAAGGCCAACACAAAGTGGCAGAGTGAATGCTAATATTATACATGAGTCACGCATGAGTCAATGCATTGCAGAACCACAATTTCCCACAATAACAGCTACCAGTCTTTTGGGGTAGGGCTCTATACACACCTGCAAACTCAACCTGAGTAAAAAAGTCAAATCACCAATGCTCAGCCTAAACAAACGTCTGCTATGGTCAACATTGTATTCAGATGCCCTGGGGTAGACTGGCAGAATCAAGGCAACCAGTATGAGCCATTGGCCCTTTGACCACCAATCATCCACGCACACACCAAACTCATACTAGATGATGTGGGCGAAAAGTCTTGCCTAAGGACACAACGACAGCTGGCATTTAACCACCACCCCAATGTTGCACCTGGTGTTCCCGGAGGTCTCCCATCACATTACTGGCCAGGTCCAGCTCTACTTCTAGGTCTGCCAGGATTAGTGCAATCCTTTGTGCTTTTTGGGTTTGAAGGCATGTTATCCATTCAGTTAACAACATGCAAGGGAGGGTGATGTCATCTCCTTCAACAATCGGTAAATAGTTTCAAATCTGAGCTAATTTACATTAAAGCAAACATGTTTTTGTCAAATCCAGATGTAACAATTTCACCAAAATAGAAACTCAAAGGGATCAGGTTACAATCACATTTTTATTTCCATATCATCCACAGACTTTAGAAAAGCTGTTCATTCAAACTGATGTGGAATTGATTAAATCTGGGGTGCATTACACAGAGAACCACAAAAGTGCACTGTACAACAATATTTTGATTGCGAGATTGTCACAGGGTCATGATTTCATGGAAAGTTAAAATCAAACGTCAGAGCATTCCCTGAGGGGATTGTTTTTATACCATATTATGGCAGATTATAACAAAAGGAACAACATTTCCATGGAAACAAGCCGAACAAGTCAGGCCTCTGCAAATGCAGTCTCACTCACAACAAGGCACATACATATTTCTATACCATTTTATATCTACACACTATAAACTATTCAACGCAACATGATGTATCATATTCAAGTAGAGGAAAAAACTACATTTAAAAGAGATCATATGTAATATGCACTTCATGGGGTTTGCCAAAACCACTTTCCAAAGCACTGATTATTGATGCAATCCCAGGTGGATTGCGTCACCTGAAGTTTAGCTAGAAACAGTTCTAGTTGTATTACAAAGGACTACTTATAAATGTTTAGCTGAATTAATGAGAGTATGTGCGGTGCTTTTAGTTAAAAAAAAATTATATAAAAAGATTTTTTTTTGATGATCTACTTGAATATCATAAACATTAATATCATGTATGTGAGTTTCACTGTACTATTTTGTTAATAATAACTATTCTTCAAACATTTATTTAGAAAAGGTGAAAATTGATTTGTAAATTCAACTTGTTACCATGGGGACACATAAAAGATATAAATGTAATTTAAAAATCGAAATTACACATTAGTGTAACCATTTTACTACATACTGTGTATAATATTGCACTAAACCAAAGTCCAAATGTTCAGAATTATGCACAAAGGCTAACAACACTGTTCCAAGACTTTATATTCATGTTAAAAGGTAAGATAAATGTTCGAATGGCTGCAATGGAACTGAAGCTACATGTTTTTTTGTACACTGATGCAACTCAATACATTCATTAATTGTAACAAGTCCACATCAGATAAAAGACACTCATCAATACGTTTCCATATGGATTCCCTCCATCTCTGATCACACCCACCCAACGATCTGGGAGACGCACGCCGCATGCAGAAGCGGAGCAGGTGTTGGTCCCACTCCGGGAGGCGGCTGTGGTAATTGATTTTGGGCCGAACTGCGGGGCTAAATGCTCGGGATTAGTGGACTATGAACAAGAGCTATTTATTATTGGTGCGCTCATGATTAGCTCATTACTCTGCTCACTGAGGCCTGTCCGCCGCTGTCACACGGTGGGGGCGCGACTTATGTGCAGCCGTAGCTTTGTTTACAGACCGAAAGCGGCGAGCTCTATAGTGCAGTCCTGGCGCGGCGCATCAGAGGTACACTGGGCGTCAAAGCGGCGCACAAGCGGGCGATGGCAAATTGAATCAGAAAACCGGCTCAGAATGTGCGCCGGTCTATCAGTGGCACTGGGTATTAAATGAACAATGTACCCGTTTGAAGCCAAATATGAGCAGTCAGAGCGGCTCTTTGTAGTGCTGTGGAGTGGCTTTTCTCTCGCATTCACAGTGGGTAATAAGTGGAGGTGCAGAAAGAGAAAAAAAAAAACACGGCGGAGGGGTGTGTTCGTGGTGGTAGCGGAGGAGGGGTGGTGCATGTGCGTGTGTGTGTGTGTGTGTACTAGGCGCAGTTAATTTCATGGTCTGTACAGCCATGCTCTGGTAATTCCCTCGGTTACATGTGAAATGCTGCAGCGACTAATGGCCATGTCTGGCTACAGTAAACCAAATCTTTTACAGCAGCTCGTGTTATATAATTTGAGGCTATGTTAAAATTTCTGTTTCTGCTGCTGGACACTTGAATTTATCAGTAATAGGATCTACACTGCAAAAAAATAGCATACCAGATAATAATTGCTTGAATAGAGTGGCCTTATCTCACCCTATCTATGCTTATTGATTTCTACTTAAAAGGTGGGCGATATCGACAAACATTGATTTCTTGATATTTTCGCATGTTTGCTGATTATGATAACCAGGCGATACTATGTCAAGCCGATAGAAATGTACTGAAGAATGTCGTTAAAATCCTTGTATAGCTCTAAGTGCCCCAGCTTTAAACAAGAAATTGCACTACAAAAATCAGACCCATTCTCAAATCTATCCAAATCTGTCAGCATTTTAGAAAGTTGAAGATGACCAACTCATCCACAAAGACAGCATTGATTGACAAAAACAAAAACAACCAAACTGCTGACAATTATATTAAACTATGACACGTTTGGATGACCAGGGGGTGACGACCACAAGTCCAGAGAGGCTTACTTTTTTGCAATTCTGGCAAAATGTGCAAAACTCAAATGGTTTGCTGACTACATTGAAATAATAATATTGATGGATTGATTGGCTGCAGTGTTGCTTTGGGACCAGCCTCCAGCTCACTGGAGAATGATGCAGCCTCCCATGAGTGGATTTGAAACTACAGCAAAGATGACACCTGCTGTTTGAATGGGGAATTACAAATACACTCAAGATAAGATCCTTTACATGTCACACGTTTGTTCAAAGATTCAAGTTACATTTATCGTAGTTTTCCCTGATCCTAATCAAGAGCAGTTTGATTCAAGTATATGATTGTACATTAAGCATGTAATATTAGGTTTTTTTTTTTTTAGCAGAAAAGGGTAACTAAGAAGGGAAACTTATTCCATTTATTAAAAAGTAATTTGTAATAATATTTATAATCAAAAATCAAAAGTCAATAGGATAATTCCCAAAAGGTATCTCCTTACAGACTGGGCTTCTTCACTGGGCTTGTTTTCTAGGCTGTTTACATTTGAAGAATGTTACATTACACTCGTGCCTCTGTCAGGAGCAGTGGTCTCCATAGTGCAGAGCAAGGAACCCATCCTCAAATGGTGATGCTCTTGGTCAGGAGGAATACTGGAGCTGAAAGATTTTTTATGGTGCATGTCAACACAACACTTTGTGTTGATTCAATTACGTTTTTTTGTTCTGATATGATCCACTTGTCCACTTTCCAAGAAATGCATGTATAAATCACATTTTGAATACACTGCATCGAAGGTCCCTAAATTGGGCAGTGTTTCGTTCTTAAATTTAAAAAGGTGTCATGACATACGTACCTTGGACTTGAGCTCCCAGAGCTCTTCGGTGCCATTCTGAACATTTCTAAAGGCAGTCAGATAGTCATAACTGATGACAAAAGTCTGCAGACAAGAGAAAACAAAATAGATTATGTTAGGTTGTTGAGGAGAGTCAATATAAAAGCATGGACATAAAACACCAATACATTTAGTAAGTAAGTAATCTTTATTTATATACCGCCTTTCACAGACCAGAGTCACAAAGCGGTTTACAATTGTTATTATTTTTGGGCATTTGTCCTCTCACTCCACACAGAGATGGGAGCGGGGTCGCCAGTACAGGAGGCGCATGCCAGAACTATTGTGCATGTTTTCAGTGGTAGGGGAAACCGGAGTACCCGGAGGAAACCTACACAGACACGGGGAGAACATGCAAACTCCACTCAGAAAGGCCCTGGTCCGGCCGGGATTCAAACCCAGGACCTTCTTGCTGAGAGGCGAGAGTGCTATCCACTCAGCCACCGTGCCGCCCGTTAAGAGTTTTAAGAGTGATATAGTTTCTCGCTTTGTTTTTAAATGAATTCTAGGGTTTATGCTTATGCCGCTTTTCCAGAGTAACGGTATGGCACGGCGCAGTTATTTTGCATTTTCACTAGGGTTGGGCTGGGGATAGGGGTACTTTTTTCGTACCACCTCGATAGTGGTTCTATCCGGGCCGAAGCTACACCATAACGTGACGTCAGCCTTACACTGATTGGTCAACTAGTGTCGTCACTGGAAGTGACGTCTGACCCTTTGGTAAAAACAACTCAATCCTGCCATCTTTAAAACCGGCTGCTCTGCCATGGATCTATAATAGGCTATAATAACACGTCCTCCTCACTCGAGAGAAATGGAATCGCACAGAAAGCCCCAAAAGTCAGAGTACTGGACGGTCGACGAGATCCACACGTTACTCTCTTTAGGCGGAAGAAAGAATTCAAAGGCAGTTCGACGGAACGAGAAGGTTTACAGGCAGATCACCCAGCTCTTGATTTGTGACTAGTCTGCGGTCATCTTGGAAATAACTAGTTAGCTACGTATCCCGTTGTCGCAAAGCTCTATTTACTCGTGTAAAAGTTTGATTGTCTGTTGTACACAGTGAGCTAGCTAAGTTTAGCTATCGATAGCAAGCTAAGCTAAAACGTCCTTCCTGTGCTAGTGTGCTGTATTTTGCTCTTTCACGTGTTGCCATTCTGTTTTGTGCTTGTACTTAAGTTGTCATGTGTATATTTATTTGTTTGAGAATCCCTTCCCACAAGTGAGGAGATTACCAACTAGCAATGAATGACCAGTCGTCCCCTCACCTGGTCTCAAGAGACATACGTACTTTGTAAATTGTTGGTTTTGCACTTTACTTTTGTTTTGTTTTTAATAAATCTGTGATCGTATCAAGACTTTGTTTCATTCAGTTGTCTGTACATGTGCAGAAAAGGGGTTCAAAAATTATGATTTCCTACCACATACTTTTACTTATTTTTGGTCAAAACACAAGGGCAAAATAAATGTTTAGGCATATGACAAAAAGTGACGCAAGGACCAATGTTACTAGTTACGCGTCGTGCGTTAACGACGTGGTCTGACAATACTTGGAGGCACTATTTTTAATGGAAAAGCACCCGCACACGGCCGTGCCGCATCATGCCGTGCCGTATCATGCCGTACAGTGCCGTGGCTATGGAAAAGTATTAGTTTTACTTAAAAAAAAGCATTAGTTTTACTTAAAAAGGTACACTGTGTAGTTTTTACTCCCATCTAGCGTTGAGATAATATATTGCAGTCCTTTGGTACAAGAGAAGCTTGGAAGAAAAATAAGTCGTCTTTAACAATGGTCCCAAACCCTCGCTCATTTGAACCGAGGCCAAGGAAGGAATCCTTTAGTTTGATAAAAGAGCAGATCTCGGCATACGTCTTGGTAACTTGACATCGCTGAAATTTAAACAAACTGAAATGTAAGCAGTCCACGTTCAAAAGCGGCACAGAGGCTCTAAGGTTTTACAAACGCGATGATTCTGCCTCTCATGATTTTGTTCTCATTACTGTCGGTGTGAAGAAAGTTATTGTTCACGTGTGAGTTTGGTGTGTAAAAACTACAGCAATGTGCCTCCTGTTTTTACTTTGCCTCTTGGTGCGTGTGGTTTGCGTTGTTGAAACGTTTACCGTTATGACGGGTTTCTAGATTTTAAAAGCTTTTTTCCTTTTTCTGAAAGATTCTTTTTTGTGTAGTTCTTTAAACTCAATTCTCGCATCCTTTTTGTCCCTTATCAACCAATGTATTTCAAGATGGCGCATTGACTTGGATAGCACTCCAGCTCTCATGTGCATTTATAATTCAAATTCTAAATCTGCAACAACAATTTAAAAACATGGTGGAGGTAAATTTTCTTTAAAAAGTCACATTTGTTACTGGTATGTTAACCAGTAACAGATGTGACTTTTTGATTTGTGTTGTGTGTTTGATGTGTTTGTGTTGTGTGTTTGATGTGTTTTTTCATTTGAAGCAACTATAAAAATTACACAGATGATTGAACTAAGGTAAGCCAACATTATGCAAACAGCCGTTAAGCCAAGACAGTTGCTAAAGCAAGCTGGAGTTTTATCGTAAATTAAGGAATCTGTAAGATCATCCTTAATTATAAACACAAAGATTATAGAAAGCACTAAACCAGTTTATTTCAGCCCAAATTATTGAATGTGATACAATCGGTTACTGAGATTGAGAAGTTTACTTTTCAATGTCAAAGTCAATAGAAGCCAAACTTCACCATGAGATAGCGAGGTAGCATTGTCTATCTTTATACTATATTTATCCATCATGTAAATATTATCCTATACATGCACTACCTTTTAATGCCAATAAAGTTGAATCTAATGTACATTCAATGCTTTATACATTAAACACTCACCGTGGCTGCAGCTCTTCCGAAGCGGACCACGGTGAGGTCGTTGATGTCCAGTTGTTTCTTGTAAAGGTACAGACCAGAGGAGGCCAGCACCACAGCAGTGACCGCCGAGAGCCTGCGCACACGACCAGCCATCCCTGCAGCCAACACAACTCCACAATAAATTAACCTCTTCAAGTTGATGTGGCTTACTTCAGATCAATTCAATTTTGTTGGGCACTAAATCACAATAGATGTTATCTTGGAGGGCCGTTGAATCGGCCGACACAGATCAGAGTCAAACAGTTCAAACACAAGAAATGCAATGATTAAAATAACACACAGAGCCGTTGGAACATAGAGGAAAGCAGTGTTTATAGTATCACCTTAATTTGTGAATAGCATAGGTCTCACGCATTTATAATAACTGTATTATTCCTAAGGCTATTCATTTGGTATTTAACTGGAAGACATTATAATATTGCCTATTATAAGCCAACTTTACCAAATATACAGACACTCAACAAAGAAAAAATCTTGTAAAAAAAAGGTTTCAGAATGTGAAAAGTCGTCCTACAGTTAATCATCCATTTTTGAAAAGACTGGCAAACATGATAATCTATTAGTTAGCTGGGCATACAACTGAAGGATTGTATATTTACGTTATAATGTACTGTGATCATTTCTGATTTGAATTTCTGATTCGAGTGTGAATTTAATGTTTTTTCATGTTTTGTTAAGAACTTCGTGTTGCCTTATGTATGAAATGTGCTATACAAGTCTATACCTGTGTCCTGTTACACCCCTGGTATACACTCATGATAGTATAGCACACAGCTCTTGGCACATTGTGAAAAGGGCAATAATTAGTAGCATGGGTAGATGTAAGGAAATACAACATATATAAAGTGAGATTGGCCTAAAATAATATAAAAGACATGTATTGAAACAAAAGTCGCATAGTTAAACTTCAGAATCCTTTAGACATGAACTTGAAATGAGGTGACGACTGGTGACTACTGGACCAGGTTGGTTTAGACCATAGATCGTTTAGACTGAGAATCTAAAGTGATATTGTTAAGGCTTTAAGCGTGAGATAATAAACTACCATGACGTACTGCATCAATTCAATATTTGAGAAACCCCACTTGGCTTCCTCCAGGAGCAGCTGCTGCAGGGTCACTCACCGTAGGCGGGTCCCGGGCTCTTGGCTCTCTCTCTCCGGACACACGGTGGCTCGGCTCTCCGCTCACAGAGGCCGAGCGAGGCTGGAGCTAACGCCGGCAGAAGCGCAGCTCATGACGGTCACTACGAGCCCCTCTCCCCGCTGCAGACTACTCGCGGAACCGATGGTGAAGGATGTGATGACCCACGTGACCCACTGCATAACACCGGCTACTGGCGCACTGCATGGTGGGTAAACATCACGCCCACGTCTCGCGAGAACATTGTTTGATTAAAGCATACAGTATTAAAGCAAGCGAACCAACGCGACCACAACATATCAGAAAAAATGTCAGACAGATAAATACTTTAATGATCCCCCATAGGAGAAATACAGGTGTCCTGCACATAAAGTACTTTACTAGTTTTATTGTAACAATCATTTCCATTCACCATCACCATCCATGCACTTATTAAATTCACTCTGTTGAGGTAGGGAGCCGGAGCACCTGGAGGAAACCTGCAGAGACGCAGGGAGAACATACAAATTCCACACAGAAACGGCTCATGGTGGAATCAAACCAGCACCACAAGTGCCAACAACTAGACTTAGGCAGACTTTATTGATCCACAGGGGAAATTGCGTTGTCCAGCTTTAGGGATCAGCTTGTCAATCAAGGGAGAGGTCCCTTTTGGTGGTGCTGCTCTCCCAGAAGAACACAGCGTAGAAAAGGGTGCTGGAAACCACAGGCAGGTAGAAGATCTCCAGCAGTATACAGCACACGTAGAAAGACCTGAGATTCCTCAGGAAAGAGTTTACCGTGCTGCACACTAAAGGAACAGTGCGAGTCATTTTTGAAGATCTGGGCTGAGAGGGGAGGGGCTAGGGTTTGATTGGTTGATTGATTTTGCTCGAGAGATGTCAAATTCTGCACTTTGAGCCTTAATTTGACCCCTTGAACATGCATGAAAAGTTGTAAAATTTTGCCCAAACTTCAGAATGTGTTATTTAAAAATGTGATATTTTGGTGTTTATTTTTATGGGACTAAAAAAATTCCAGAACAGTGCCACCTACAACGGCCAATGGGAGTTTCAGAGGTCAAGTTTGTTGTAGAGCCATGAAATTCGGTACAAATGTTCCTCAAGTCAAGACATGAAAAACATTTTATTGTGGCCACGCCCTCTGACAAACAGGAAGCCCATAAATTTCACTGCAAAATGGAAAAATGAACAATCATTTTCAAACATGTCGGTTGGAAAGCAACTCCTCCTCGGCCGTTTCACCGATTGGCCTCAAAATTGCTCCAGATCATCTCAACACATGTACCTTCAAAATGACTTCAGGGAATTTTGATCAGTGAAGCATTGTTTGAGCAGCAAAATGTGACCTTTTTTTGGCCGTTTTTGACATGCTATTTGCTCCCGTTTGCACAAACAAATTCCGATTTGCACAAAACTTGAATCCATGGTTCAACTCTAGGGTCTAGGTCATTTGAAAGTGAAATAATTGCACTTGGCTCAATAACGCCCCCTACAGACTATTTCAGAGTTTTTAGTATGAAAAACTCTGAAAACTTTGACTCCATCTGTAGGGGCACTAATGAGCCAAGTTATTTTATTTCACTTTCAAATGACCTAGACCCTAGAGTTAAAAAATGTATTTAAGTTTTGTGCATATCAGACTTTGTTTGTGCAAATGGGAGCAAATTTAATATTGTCCAAAACGGCCAAAAAAAGGTCACATTTTGCCGCTCCCCTGTTCGAACAACGTTTCACTGATCAAAAATCACCAAAGTCATTTTCAAGGTACAAATGTTGAGATGACGTGGAGCGATTTTGAGGCTAATCGGTGAAACGGCCGAGGAGGAGTCGCTTTCCAACCGACATGTATGAAAATTATTGCTGTTCATTTTTCCATTTTGCTGTGAAATGTATGGGCTTCCTGTTTATCAGGGGGCAGGGACTTAATAACAGATTTCGTAATTAACTGGAAATGTATGATGAATTAAATGATATTCACAAAAAGAAATCAAACAAAACAATTGGTTCTCACACCTCCAGGGCTGAATAAACATTCAGGATATGAAGTCAATTTAAATTGAAAACACACATTTGAATCAATAGTATTTATTATACGTATTATTCACCTAATATCCAACAGGCATAAATATCTGTTTACATTTATGAAACAAGTAAAAAAAAAAGAAAAAACGTAAGTGTAGTCCATCTTCAGTCCTCGTCTCTGTTTGGTCTTTGTACAAATGTCCGTTTGTTCTTCTGAACCTGGACCTAAGTAACAACAAATAAAAACAAAATCGTTAAAAACTTGTATAGCCCTAAAAAACAGAAAAAAAACTCCCATGGATGGACAGGCAATAGATCCAGGGGTCAGATAAATGTGGAAGCTAACACTGTCAGAACAAATGCCATTATACAGATTTGGCTCTAGCTAGCTTATGTTCAAATCAGCGTCTGCATTCAGCAGTCAGTCCACTAAGCCCAGGGAGCACGTACCTTGGTTCCTTCAATGATGTGACTTTCTTTCTGTAGGGCGTTGTTTAGACCCTCCTCTGAACTAAAGCCCACCCAGCAGAAGCCTCTGTGGAAACCAGTCTCTCGGTCCTGTACAACAGAGTACAGCATGAGAAAACAAAATATTTCTGTACAACGGCAAAAAAAAAAAGTATAAATAGGTCACGGTCAGAATCATTCGATAGTGTTATGGTAAATATTTATTAACAAAACTTACAAATGGCAGAAGGCATTTCCTGACAGCTCCAAATTGGCCGAAATATTCCCGTATTTCCTCTATAGGAAAAAAAAGAAATTATATTGATGTCATTACATAATCATTGGTAATATATGGCAAATATTCTGTTAGGATTAAGATAAAACAATAATGTTCATGATAAATCACTAGTGGTAGGTGGGGTATCGAACAGTTTCTGTTTAATTAGTTGTCTTCATCTTGCGGCACGGTGGCTGAGTGGATAGCACTCTCGCCTCTCAGCAAGAAGGTCCTGGGTTCGAATCCCGGCCGGACCAGGGCCTTTCTGAGTGGAGTTTGCATGTTCTCCCCGTGTCTGCGTAGGTTTCCTCCGGGTACTCCGGTTTCCCCTACCACTAAAAATATGTACAATAGGTCTGGCATGCGCCTCCTGTACTGGCGACCCCGCTCCCATCTCTGTGTGGAGTGAGAGATAAATGCCCAAAAATAATAACAATTGTAAACCGCTTTGTGACTCTGGTCTGTGAAAGGCGGTATATAAATAAAGCTTACTTACTTACTTAGTAGAAAACATTTTCTTTTAGACATTTGTAAAGAACCATTAGTCAGTATTTGATGCTGAATACCAGAGAGAAATTGGTCCCGTAAATTTCAATTTACCGTCTGAAAAAGTGGAACTAAGACATGAGGAGCCCAGAATAATAACTACATGACGACTGGCGATAGTTCAATTAATTTAGTTGTGCAATACTTAATACTCACTCATCTTACTGTTCTGTAACGAATGTAACGAATACTGGGACGAATAAGGATCTTCATCTTAACCAACACATATCCACTTATATATATATGTGGATATATATGTGGATATATATATATATATATATATATATATATATATATATATATATATAAAATTGGCACAACCTTGATGCAGAATTTAGTCTATAATGGGGTATTGAGAGCTAGTGCCAGTCAGATGGATAAACTGCATAGCTTTAGCGTGTGTTAAAGTTAACCGAGGTGAAGTTAGCCGAACGTTTGATATTCGCCTGATATTCGAACAAAATCCCCCTGGATTCAAAGTCTGTCCGTATTTTCAGTTTAGTGAAGAGTGTAGTATTAAATGCTGTTCACAATGTTGCCACCTATATAAAAAAAACTTTACTTAGGCTGCAGCTGACGATTTATAACACGAAAAACAATGAAGGTGAAGTCTCCGTTCGTACGTGTGATAAGCTCTCAGCAAGGGACCGTCTGCAAAGTGCAAGATTTGACAGAACGTTGCAGATGGGTTGGTGAATACAATAAAAACTGCTTTTAAAAAGTAGTTTTTCCCAGTTTTGATGGGTGTAGTAAATCCATTTGAACAATAGCTAGCTACTACAGGCAAGAATTTGGGAAGAATATTGTTTTCCCCTTCACAGCAACAAAAATGAAATTGAAAAAAATCACTTCAAATCAACAAAGATATTTTTCCCAGTTTTGATGGGTGTAGTAGCTCCATTTGAGCTATAGCTAGCTACTACAGGCAAGAATTTGGGAAAAATATGGTTTTCCCCTTCACAGTAACAAAAATGAAATTGGAAAAATTCACTAAAAATCAACAAAGAAGTTTTTCCCAGTTTTAATGGGTGTAGTAGCTCCCATTCAATGATAGCTAGCTACTACAGGCAAGAATTTGGGAAAAATATGGTTTTCCCCTTCACAGTAACAAAAATGAAATTGGAAAAATTCACTAAAAATCAATAAAGAAGTTTTTCCCAGTTTTGATGGGTGTAGTAGCTCCCATTCAATGATAGCTAGCTACTACAGGCAAGAATTTGGGAAAAATATGGTTTTCCCCTTCACAGTAACAAAAATGAAATTGGAAAAATTCACTAAAAATCAATAAAGAAGTTTTTCCCAGTTTTGATGGGTGTAGTAGCTCCCATTCAATGATAGCTAGCTACTACAGGCAAGAATTTGGGAAAAATATGGTTTTCCCCTTCACAGTAACGAAAATGAAATTGGAAAAATTTACTAAAAATCAACAAAGACTTTTTTCCCAGTTTTGATGGGTGTAGTAGCTCCATTTGAACAATAGCTAGCTACTACAGGCAAGAATTTGAGAAAAATTTAGTTTCCCCCTTCACAGTAACGAAAATGAAATTGGAAAAATTTACTAAAAATCAACAAAGATATTTTTCCCAGTTTTGATGGGTGTAGTAGCTCCATTTGAGCAATAGCTAGCTACTACAGGCAAGAATTTGGGAAAAATATGGTTTTCCCCTTCACAGTAACAAAAATGAAATTGGAAAAATTCACTAAAAATCAACAAAGATATTTTTCCCAGTTTTGATGGGTGTAGTAGCTCCCATTCAATGATAGCTAGCTACTACAGCCAAACTTTGGGAAAAATATTGTTTTCCCCTTCACAGCAACAAAAATGAAATTGGAAAAATTTACTAAAAATCAATAAAGAAGTTTTTCCCAGTTTTGATGGGTGTAGTAGCTCCATTTTAGCAATAGCTAGCTACTACAGGCAAGAATTTGGGAAAAATATGGTTTTCCCCTTCACAGTAACGAAAATGAAATTGGAAAAATTTACTAAAAATCAATAAAGAAGTTTTTCCCAGTTTTGATGGGTGTAGTAGCTCCATTTTAGCAATAGCTAGCTACTACAGGCAAGAATTTGGGAAAAATATGGTTTTCTCCTTCACAGTAACAAAAATGAAATTGGAAAAATTCACTAAAAATCAACAAAGATATTTTTCCCAGTTTTGATGGGTGTAGTAGCTCCATTTGAGCAATAGCTAGCTACTACAGGCAAGAATTTGGGAAAAATATTGTTTTCCCCTTCACAGCAACAAAAATGAAATTGGAAAAATTTACTAAAAATTAACAAAGACTTTTTTCCCAGTTTTGATGGGTGTAGTAGCTCCATTTGAGCAATAGCTAGCTACTACAGGCAAGAATTTGGGAAAAATATGGTTTTCCCCTTCACAGTAACGAAAATGAAATTGGAAAAATTTACTAAAAATCAATAAAGAAGTTTTTCCCAGTTTTGATGGGTGTAGTAGCTCCATTTTAGCAATAGCTAGCTACTACAGGCAAGAATTTGGGAAAAATATGGTTTTTCCCTTCACAGTAACAAAAATGAAATTGGAAAAATTCACTAAAAATCAATAAAGAAGTTTTTCCCAGTTTTGATGGGTGTAGTAGCTCCCATTCAATGATAGCTAGCTACTACAGGCAAGAATTTGGGAAAAATATGGTTTTCCCCTTCACAGTAACGAAAATGAAATTGGAAAAATTTACAAAAAATCAACAAAGATATTTTTCCCAGTTTTGATGGGTGTAGTAGCTCCATTTGAGCAATAGCTAGCTACTACAGGCAAGAATTTGGGAAAAATATGGTTTTCTCCTTCACAGTAACAAAAATGAAATTGGAAAAATTCACTAAAAATCAATAAAGAAGTTTTTCCCAGTTTTGATGGGTGTAGTAGCTCCCATTCAATGATAGCTAGCTACTACAGGCAAGAATTTGGGAAAAATATGGTTTTCCCCTTCACAGTAACAAAAATGAAATTGGAAAAATTCACTAAAAATCAACAAAGAAGTTTTTCCCAGTTTTGATGGGTGTAGTAGCTCCATTTGAGCAATAGCTAGCTACTACAGCCAAGAATTTGGGAAAAATATGGTTTTCCCCTTCACAGTAACGAAAATGAAATTGGAAAAATTCACTAAAAATCAACAAAGATATTTTTCCCAGTTTTGATGGGTGTAGTAGCTCCATTTGAGCAATAGCTAGCTACTACAGGCAAGAATTTGGGAAAAATATGGTTTTCCCCTTCACAGTAACGAAAATGAAATTGGAAAAATTTACTAAAAATCAACAAAGATATTTTTCCCAGTTTTGATGGGTGTAGTAGCTCCATTTTAGCAATAGCTAGCTACTACAGGCAAGAATTTGGGAAAAATATGGTTTTCCCCTTCACAGTAACGAAAATGAAATTGGAAAAATTTACTAAAAATCAACAAAGATATTTTTCCCAGTTTTGATGGGTGTAGTAGCTCCATTTTAGCAATAGCTAGCTACTACAGGCAAGAATTTGGGAAAAATATGGTTTTCCCCTTCACAGTAACGAAAATGAAATTGGAAAAATTCACTAAAAATCAACAAAGATATTTTTCCCAGTTTTGATGGGTGTAGTAGCTCCCATTCAATGATAGCTAGCTACTACAGCCAAACTTTTGGGAAAAATATTGTTTTCCCCTTCACAGCAACAAAAATGAAATTGGAAAAATTTACTAAAAATCAACAAAGATATTTTTCCCAGTTTTGATGGGTGTAGTAGCTCCATTTTAGCAATAGCTAGCTACTACAGGCAAGAATTTGGGAAAAATATGGTTTTCCCCTTCACAGTAACGAAAATGAAATTGGAAAAATTTACTAAAAATCAACAAAGAAGTTTTTCCCAGTTTTGATCGGTGTAGTAGCTCCATTTTAGCAATAGCTAGCTACTACAGGCAAGAATTTGGGAAAAATATGGGTTTCCCCTTCACAGTAACGAAAATGAAATTGGAAAAATTCACTAAAAATCAACAAAGATATTTTTCCCAGTTTTGATGGGTGTAGTAGCTCCCATTCAATGATAGCTAGCTACTACAGGCAAGAATTTGGGAAAAATATGGTTTTCCCCTTCACAGCAACGAAAATGAAATTGGAAAAATTTACTAAAAATCAATAAAGAAGTTTTTCCCAGTTTTGATGGGTGTAGTAGCTCCATTTAGCAATAGCTAGCTACTACAGGCAAGAATTTGGGAAAAATATGGTTTTCCCCTTCACAGTAACAAAAATGAAATTGGAAAAATTCACTAAAAATCAACAAAGATATTTTTCCCAGTTTTGATGGGTGTAGTAGCTCCCATTCAATGATAGCTAGCTACTACAGCCAAACTTTTGGGAAAAATATTGTTTTCCCCTTCACAGCAACAAAAATGAAATTGGAAAAATTTACTAAAAATCAATAAAGAAGTTTTTCCCAGTTTTGATGGGTGTAGTAGCTCCATTTTAGCAATAGCTAGCTACTACAGG